CCAACGGGATGCCATAAATAAACTACAGAATCACACTACACACCTACGCCATGATTACATTCAGGCAGACTGTAGAACACAACCTCTTTGGACCATTTATATACTTATTGAAAACAAGCTACAAAATGTAACACCTTGGAAAATGCCGTTTAATACTTTTTAAGACCCCGCGGACCCCCTGATGTCACACTCTTTATGGCAGGCTGGAAATGAGTTCTCCAGCCTTCAGACTGATGGGAGCCTCGTGTGATATCCATAGGGTGCAGTGGTACCCTATAGTATTAGGTACCTTCACTGGGCAATAAACTGGAGCATTATTACTAAAGTTGGACAAACTACTTTTCTTGCTAAACTAAATGTAGAGCCGGCCATGGTGCACACCCGGAGGCATCGTGCCCAGTGAAGGCTGGCCAGCGTGAGGGATAGGACCCAAGAAGGGAATCTCTTACACAGAGCGTACCTGACCCTCCGTTTGAAAATAAATAATACACAATAGAATCTTTTTTAGAAAATCCTTGAAAACAATCAAGCATATACTTCAGATGCTTGATCTGCAGCAAAAGCTGATCCTGAGCCCACTGGCTAACTGTCTATTCATTTCTTCTTAACCTTTTTGTGAAATTCTGCCAACTAAGAGACATAACAGGGACCAAACCGTAACTACTTCCGGACAGGTAATCTATCAATTCCCTTCTTACAGTCATCTATTAGTTTAGACATAAGTCATAGGCAACACCCAGAGTGCCAGACGCCCAGAGAGTCACCTCCACCTCTTGTGATCTACGTCTATATAGCCACTTTCACTGAGCAAGTTAGATGCTGCGTATCACAGAGCACTGAGATTTTTGACAAATTGTAAAGCACTTACGCATCACTGTACCCTGTATACCAAGGCGGTTATGCCATCACTTACTGTACGGAGGCTCAGTCACTGGTACTTTTTCATTTACAAAGCCATGTTGGATAAACTACCATCTTATATCTGCTCCCTGATCTCTCTGCGAATTGAAAGTACTTATTGCCTGAGATCGCATGCTGTGGTTTTATTAAATGTGCCAAGTGCTAGGACTGTCTTAGGGAAGAAAGCTTTTAGATGTGCAGCTCCACTAACATGGAACAGTCTGCAAAAAGAATGGACAATTACCAAGCTAGTACCACTACATGTTTTTAAAGCTCGGTTGGATGCTCCACAATCAGATGCTGTTGGTACCTGTACTTGTGGTTAGATATGTAAATTGTAATCCCTGTACATTTTGCTGTATGATGTCCTTTTGTTGTTCTGTTTATGTTTGTATGTCTTCTTGTGGAACCTACTGCTGCAGGTCTCCCTTGAAAAAGAGATCATTGATCTCAATGGGATTTTACCTGGATAAATAAAGGTTTTGAATTGAATTGCACTCTCGTTACAACTCTTCCTATCCTCTGGTTTCACTGATAGAAAGCGGTGAGGGCATACATAAAACGCAGGTGCTTTTCCTGTATCAATAAAGTGAAGATATCCTATTTCTTCGTCGACAGCATGTGGTTTATTTTGTGTCCTGTGTGTGGTTAAAACCTGGCTGAACTGGACGGGACTGTGAGTGAATTCATGAACATCAAATCAAATCAAGTTTTATTTATATAGCACATTTATAAACGATTTTTGGTCGAGCCAAAGTGCTGTGTGAACATGTGTGAAGATGATTTTTCTCAAACACTGCAAAGCTATTCTCTCTTCTGTCTGCAGCGCCACTGACACACAGACCTAGAAACACTGTGAGCATAATGAAATCACAGAGAGCGAGAGAGAGAGAGCGAGAGAGAGAGAGCGAGAGAGAGAAGAGGAAGAGAGGGAAAAACCCCGGCAAGCGGACTATTTTTGGCAATAAGAAACAGCATTGTGCTCTTGAGCCGAATCCTCAGCAGTGACGTCTTTGTGTTGATATTTAACTGTGAAAAATGACTTAGTGAAGCAGCTGTGAGTTTGTCAGGCGAGATCTGGGGGCTGCAGTGGACCCCCAGCCCATTTCCCCTGCTGTCCCCCTCCCCTGCGCCTGCTATCCGAGGAATTCACATTTGCTCTTAGTGTTTAATCGGTTTCGCTTGCCATTCCCTGTCTCAATCCTCTGCTTCGCCGTTACTTCGCTCTCCCATGTTTCTAACAGTCAAAAGCTATAAAAAAGCTGAGGGTTTTGAGTTATTAAATAGTGGAAAAAGCTATTTATTAGCTCAACATGTAGCCCCAAAACAAAAAGGCAGGAGTTTGGACAAACAGCCCCAACAGCTGGCTCCCATTACGGAATATGTTTCTCTTCCAAAAATCAACTCCTTTTACCTGTCAGAGCCCAACTCGTTCTTTTTCTCAACCTTTCTAGAAACTTTTGTAACAGACTGATGCAACTTAAAAAAACTGAGCTTCTGTGTGACCATTTTTTTTGTCTTGTGGGGAGCTATCAGGGACAAGATTGCAACCACGTCTGCACCCCAACATGAAGTTAGATACCACAGTTCTGTCTAGTCTGTCTGCTGTAACAGTGGATGAGGACAGGGACCCCTACGAGTGTCTGGTTGAAACTATCAGTGATTCATGGACATGTACTGCACACAAATGGGGTGGAGGACTGGGCTTCCATTCTCTGAGGGGCGCAGGGTGTGGTAGGATAGCACTGGAGTGGAAAAGAAAGAGTTAAGCTCTACTTGCTACCACTGGCTCAGATAGTCTCATGGGGACCGCAGTAGACATATTCAGAGCAAGTCCCTTTTCCTGCTCTAAAGCAAGTCAAACATGTATTTTTAGAAAGTAGGAACCATGAGAAAATATGTAGTACAGGCAAAAAAACATCTCATTAATGTGTTAAAATATATGTTGTTGGATCCCAGATATAACAAAACCTGAACACTAATTTAAAAGCGATTGCCTAAATGTAATGCCACCCACTGAATGAAACGAGGCGATACAACAATGTGGGAAATGAGCATGAAATCTCAACACGGCTGTAAAATGTTGGTTGTGGATGAAAAATGTGACTTCTTAGACAGAATCTTCACTGTCCTCTCAAGCTATGTGTCTGGTAAAACTGTTATGAGTGGCTCTTGAGTTATAGTGTCCACCTGCCTCTGTGCTCCATTAATAAGGCCTACTGTCGTACAACACAAACAGAGGTTTCACTGTTAATTTACAGCCACCAGAGAGATGCCTTATTCAAATATATTCAGCCGTGATGTGATCAGTTAACGGCTGACGTCGTCATCCAACCGTCTTTGTTAAAGAGGCAATTATTTGGATTCTGGTGCAGGAAAAGAGGTCAGATTTAAATCTCTGAACTACACTTGTGTCCTTCGCCCACGCCGGGTCATAAGAGGAATGTCTTGTGGCAACCAAGCCTCTGTGACTGGACACAATTCTGCTGAGGACAGCGGCGTCCAAAGCCAGAGAGGAAGAAAGAGGAGAAAGGAAGAAGTGCTGTGTTGTCTGTTGCTCTGCACAGTGAGTAGGACGTCCTCCTCACAGCCTGGTCTTTCTCAAACATACAAAGGCAGCTCTGACAACAGGAGAGAGAGGCAGAGGGAGTGGCAGAGAAGTGACTGTAATGCTAAGGGTGCAGCTATTCTGCTGGACAATGAAAACTTGATTTACATACAAATGAATAACAAGACAATTTACATTAAAAAAGGGTAGGTTTTGTACAGATTTGCTGTAATTCAATTAGCTGTCATTTCCACTTGATCTTGAGCCCTTCTCAGGTTCCAGCAACAGCCTCCAATCAAAGCAACACAAAGATATCTAATGGCCCAATCAAAACCGGGGCATGAAAAGCGAGCGTTCCATGTCTGAGGCAAAGAGACTTCTGGGTAACAGATGGAGCCGATATCATATCCCCCGAGTGGCCATCTGTGTAAAAACATACAGAACACAACCCACACACCCACCGTGTTGTAGTTTGTCTTCCTCTCGGTACAGGTTGTGTTTGCCCAGTGTCAACTTGTGGGCAAAAGCCTGCACTGGCACACACTCTGTCTCTACCCACAAGAGGGCAATTAACGCGGCACAAAAACAAGACCAATCCTTAGGTAGTGCTTCACAAATGTCTAATCTGATCAAATGACTACTTACATAAAAACAGTGGCCACTTTATTAGGTTCACCTGTACAGTCTAATGCAACAGTCTCAAGAGCACATACTGTATCTTACCTGTCCTAAAGTACCTTCATTGGTTGCCATAATAAGAGTTAAAGATCCTTTTATTAGAGTTGAAATCACACCATGGACTAGCGCCTGGATACTTGTCAGACATGCTCTCAATGTAAGCTCCACATAGATCACAAGGACCTCTGACACTGGACTTTCAATCACTCCCAGGGTCAGGAGAAAGACATCGGGGCGAGGTAGCATGCCTCTGATATAGCATGCTTGAAGAACAACACGATGTTGTGTTTTCATTCGTTTCTTAGTCTTTGTTTTGCTAAATTATCATTGGTTTGTTGTATTTTCATTGTATTGTTAAGCACATTTGATCGTAACCTTGCACAAAAGACCCTATAATCAAATAAAGTTGAAGTTAAAAATGTTTTTGAAATTATAGGAATCACAAGTCATCTTAATGGCAGAACCGTTATTTTTGGATTGCCCTGGAATAAACAGGTGTACCCAATGAAGTGGCCAAGTAGTGTACAGTATATACTTATTAAGGACAGAAACCCTTGACCTACATTCATTATACAACTACTACAGTGCAAGATTCAAGACAACATAAGAAAATTCCATTTAAACAAAACGTTCACTCTGTATATCGGTAATGGAGCATCATTTGAATAAGCACTGTTTATTGCCATATTTCTACACCACCACCACTACAGTCGCAACATCAGAGAAAAGTTGGGTTTGAGACTTCTGGATGTAAACTCTGATGTTGTAAGATAACGGTTAAACAGTCATTATTCAGGGAATGCCGCATATCAAGTACATGGGAATGTTATGAGAATACTGTAACAGTTGGTTTAGGCTAGTTAAGGGTCATTACCTCCTCCTGAGACGCATAGCGAGGCTCTGCAGGGTCCACCGACCAGTAGCAGTAGTCAAAACAAAACTCCAGAAGCTTCTCCCTGGAATCTAGAGCACCATCTGAGCGTCCGTCCAGCTTCAGGGAGGAAAACAGAAGAGAACATCGGGGATTATTATTAACACTCTCTAATACCGGTCAAAATCCTAGCATAACAAGGCAAGATGTAAAGAACAATTACTTTATCAAGTCAGAACAATAAATAAAGAACTTTGTCTGACAGAGTTGTATACATTGCTCACTGAAAATCTTAAGACAACAGATTCACTGACAGAAGAATTTGGGCCTAAGAAATGAGAGTAGTGTTATTAGAAAAACCGCACTAAAGCCAGGTGCTATGGATTTATTACATGTCTGATATGGTGTGGAATTACAAGCGAGTTGTTTCCATTCATTAGCAATGCATTCGCTCCTCTCACAGTTCTTTAGTCGCCTCACTGCATTAACAGTAAACACCTTTCTGCTAACTGTGAGGAAAGACAGCACAGCAGCTTTTGGACTTGTCCCAGCACAACAGTTGTAGTGGATAATCAGTGCAGCATCTAAACACTGCTTCTAAATCCCTGCAGTCAACCTGAAGAACAATAATGTTCCTGCTGAGAACAGGCTGTTATTTTCTGTTCTGCAGTACCTCTTTTTAATACAAGGTTTTAAATCTATTCAGGTGTATCCACTTTGCCCATTTGTCTAGAGCAGTGTTTCTCAAACTTTTTCATACCAAGGACCACCTAACCAATAAAAAAACACTCGCGGACCACCTAACTCCGCAAATATCCAAAAACACATCGTTTTTTATAAATCGCCTGAAAATGGTACAAACAAGTGGCAACATGTGTGATGAAGGTGTTTATCTGGGCTATATCATGCAATCGAAAGTGAAACTTAAGCTCGTTCCATTGCGAAGATATTCCCGCGAGAGTGCGAAAAACTTAAATAAATGTATTTCTTTCAAATGTGAAATGTTACCAATATACTCACGGACCACTAGGGGGCGCTCACGGACCACCAGTGGTCCGCGGACCACACTTTGAGAAGCACTGGTCTAGAGGAATGTATTTTGAGTAGAAAACAAGTTTGTGAGCACTAAGGCATGAGTTTGATTGTGGGGAAAGATCTGACTTTAAACTAAATGAATTTGAAGCTGCATTAGATGTTAATCTAAGTAAAAGTCAGAGAATAAAATGGCTTATCTATAGAATAGACTTCTTTCTTTATACATTTTAATGTCGGCAAGATCTTAATATAATAGGAGTATCATAAAGCAATATATCGCCTGGGTGAAATACCAATTATCATAATATTAATACATATCGTTCCAGCATTAGATAGCATTAGTCTGGTGTCTTTTGGGATATTTTACCCAGTTAAATGCTTTCATTCAAATAAAAGTAATGCTGCTTCTATTAAAAGTGTTTCTCACATGAACATCCCTTAATTCGATAAAGCTTTTCTTGTTGTATGTGTCACTATCACATTATCAAAATGAAAGTATAGAGTCACATTGCTCTTGTTTAAAAGTGAAAATAATTGTTTCTCTCCGACACATTTACTATTCACTTCTGGCATACGAGTTGTTACCATCAGACTGCAGTGTAATTGCACTGGGAGTTTTTCGGGGTGACATCAGTGTATCATTTTAACATTTGGCGAGTGCAATTGCAAAATCAGTACCAGTGTCTCTTTTATGAGTTAAATGCAGACCCGGCGCACGTTTGGTTTTCTAAACGATAGTAACTACAAAAATAAATGTACTTGCTCATGAGTTACCAGTGTTTGTGCCGCCACGCACACAATGTTTCAGAAGTGGTTTCTATGTTGCCCTTTACTGTGTATTTATTTGTGTATTTATTTGTGTATTTATTTGCGATAGGTGTGCGACTGTGCGTCTTTACGGTCTTTACGCAATGAGGGTCCTTTAGTCAGTGTTGTAGTTCAAACCAAGCAGTCAATTATCCACATCATAATCCAAATGATGAACCCACTCAGCCATTTATGTAAATAGCCTTTTCTTCCTCTAACTGCAGCATTAGGCAACACTAAGCTCTGAGTATCAATTTTGTTCAGAGCAATTGAACTCTCTGAGAGCACGATTGTTTAACCCCCCCCAGCCCTTTTAGGAGATTTAACAAAGGCCTTGAGGTGAGAGGGATTAGCCAAAAGCAACACAGCCCACCAGAGCTCCAACCACTGATGAAGTCTCTTGTTTTACACCTAAATGAAGTTAGGGCGGAAAACAGACTAGCTGCAAAACATTACCTTTTATCTTTTCTGGTTCTGTGCTTTGTAATTTAGATGAATAGATTGGTATAGCTTTTATTACTTGCAGTTTGTAAAGTAAGGTTATTGTCCTGTAAAATCCACCCTTTTTCTTTGCTGTTTAAGATCTTCCAAAACTGTCCCACTAAATAATGATTCCCTTGAACCTTTTCCATGGCACAGGGCGGCCATATGTGGTCTGTCTCTGTCACATCATTTGTAACAGATTCTCTCCTCCCCCACCCAACTTCTCTCTTTAGCTAAAACCTTGATCAACAAAAGTCTCCATGTACAGTACGTGTGACTAGCAATCAACTGTAAGCTGATTTTAATGTATCCTTTTTTAATGTGTGCATCACTTGTACACATGGGAGATACACATTGTGATAAATGATCCTCAACAAGGCTTTTGCAGTTGTATTATCTCAACACAGGCAAAGCAGCTCAACCACACAGACGAGTCTCCTCAGACATCTGACGCAGCAGGTTCCAAGCTTAGTGAAAGTGTCAGCTTACAGCAGGGGTGGGGAACCGTTTTCCTCTCGAGGGCCATTTCAATTTTTACAACATCCTCCGAGGGCCGTACAAATTATTGATCTCAACCTCTGCTAAAAAAAACTAAAGTCACAGCCCATTCATTTCGCCTTTCTTTCCTGCTGTGCAAAGAAAAATCAACTTCTTAATCCAGATATCTTTCGGTTTTATTTTATGTTATGCTTTGGAGAAAGTGTGTAAAAGGCATAAGGACCAAAATGCAGACACTCCCTATGACCCGCATCAATCTGGTGCACTGTGTGTGTGTGTGTGTGTGTGTGTGTGTGTGTGTGTGTGTGTGTGTGTGTGTGTGTGTGTGTGTGTGTGTGTGTGTGTCCTAGCATTACTATACTTGTGGGGACCTAACTCTGTTAACACAGTCACGTGTGGGGACTCGCCTCCCTTATGGGGACAAATTGGAGGTCCCCATGAGGGGGATCATTAATTTTAGGGTGAAGACTTGGTTAGGTTTAGGGTAAGGGTTAGGGTAAGGGTTAGGGTAAGGGTTAGGGTTAGGCATGTGTTGGTTATGGTTAAGGTTAGGATAAGTCTCCAGGAAATGCATGTAAGTCAATGTAATGTCCCCTGAAGTGATGTATACATGGTGTGTGTGTGTGTGTGTGTGTGTGTCTGTGTCTGTGTGTGTGTGTGTGTGTGTGTGTGTGAGTTCAACACATATAATAAACAATAGTGACATTGAGCCGGAAAAGGCTGGTCTGAGGCTGTAAACATCCTGTTGTGGTAGATAAACGCCCTCTACACAGTAGACTAAATATTGGACATAAATGTAAAGCACGTTGGATATGATCACAGCAAAATACTCACCTTTCCATTTTTGATCCTAACGAGCTTGTCCTCGACTTGAACCGCTAACCTTCCTCCATCTGCGCTCTCCCTGTGAGAGAGGAAAACATTGCTCTAGTCAACTTTGTAAACATTCATATTCGGATGCGTTGAGAAGTGTGACAGCTTTTTATGAGAAGTGAGAGTGATCAGATTGAAGAGAAAACATAAAAAGCATATCAGTAGTGATCAGTGACTACATCTATATGATCAATAATGTTCCACTATTATTCAGAATATGACAAGATTACGAAAATTCTGTTTGGTGATTGAAATATTTTTGAAAATGCCAATATTGCAAAGATTTGGGGAGCATTCTTTGGTCATGTTAACAGCGCGATCAGAACATGTTTTGGTTGCCGCAGTTTGCAACACACTGCCTCTTGACTGCAGTTGGAAAAGGTGGGAAGTGCAGTTGTAGCACATACTGCAAGGGGGTGCATGTTTACAGGAATATTAATGGATTATTAATGTAAACAGCTTACTAGGAATATTGTGAGCATAGCATTTCCCACTTGACAGATTTAACAAAGGTTTCACTTTGGATTAAACACCCTGCAGACAGATTCAAATAGGTTTAAAACAACTATTTTTGCAGATGCCGACATAATGGAGAGGGTGTCCAGAGACATTTAGGCCACTTGACTTGAGGCTGTCACACGGTTAACACAATGAACCTCTGTGTGTGTGCGATCCATGAAATCGTCACTGACCAGTTTCAGATTCAAATGAAAACAGACGCTTCACTCTGATGAGGAAGCTTGGGTTTTCTACACTAGTATTGTATGAGAGTGTGTGTGTGTGTGTGTATGTGTGTGTGTGTGTGTGTGTGTGAAACAAGGTCAACTCAGCAGCTGGACCCAGCACATCTGATGCAACACACACGAAAATTGAGGCAATCACAACATGGAGCTGAGAGTATTTCGATCTCCAGGAGCGATAACGGCGGTGATTTCTGTCTGTAGTGCAAACGCTGAGTCTCTGTGGAGGGTTGGGGACGACGGGGGGGTTTTGTAATCGTCACCCCCCCCCTGAGCTTCACCATGCGGGACTCATTTTTCCAGCAGTGGTGGCCCAACCCAAAACCAGCAACCTTCAATCTCAGGCTCTAAGCAGCATGAAGGGGAGGAGGATGGTGGTAGAAAATAGTAAACCTCGTAAAAAAAACAATGTTGAAACAAACCCAGGACCAGAATTTTCACAATCTGGCACACATGTTTTTGCACATGAAAGTGGCGTCATGCCGTCTCAGGGGGGGGGGGGGGGCATTGAGTCCTTAAACAATGAGCAACACACTTCTGCGCCCGGCCAATGCGGAATGCAGCTGACCAACCTGGTGCTAAAGTTATGTGTAAGTGAAACGGACAGATCCAGGAATAAGGACACAGACATTTGCATGACAGTGAACATTATGTATAAGAATTGCTTTTGTTATGCAAAATACCAGGAAGGCTGTTTGAAAGAATCATTGTCGGAGCCTCCATAGCCTGGATAATGCTTTGTTATGGTACTGTAGTGGCATTTAGATTAAGAACCCCAGCCACACATCCTGCAGGAGGTGAAGTGAAATCAATATACTACTGTAGGACTCTATGTATAATATCCTCTCACTGCTGAAACAAAATATCTGTTATCCAACATGTTGTAGCAATCTGTCTCTTCATGTAAAGGGAGGTCCAGTGGAGCAAAGTAGCTTTACAACCTCCATGTGTTACTTTGCTACCTAAACAGCAGATTCTACAGCACTGTAAAAACAGGGCAAGGCAAGGCAAGTTTATTTATATAGCACTTTTCAACACAAGGCAATTCAAAGTGCTTTACAAAAAATGAAAGAGATTAAGAAAATGGCATTTAAAATCAGTCATTAAAAAGAAAAGCTAATAAAATAAACATTAAAAGAAAAAGTACATGGATAAAAGTTACAGTGCAGTCTAAGATATGAATAGTTCAATTAAAAGCAGCGACAAAAAGAAAAGTCTTCAGCCTGGATTTAAAAGTAGTCAGAGTTGCAGCGGACCTGCAGGTTTCTGGGAGTTTGTTCCAGATATTTGGAGCATAATAACTGAACGCTGCTTCTCCATGTTTAGTTCTGACTCTGGGGACAGAAAGCTGACCAGTCCCTGAAGACCTGAGAGATCTGGATGGTTCATCATTTAGCAGGAGGTCAGAAATGTATTTTGGGCCTAAACCATTCAGTGCTTTATAAACCAGCAGCAGTATTTTGAAATCTATTCTTTGACACACAGGAAGCCAGTGTAAAGACTTCAGAACAGGAGTGATCCACTTTCTTAGTGTTAGTGAGGACTCGAGCAGCGGCGTTCTGAATCAGCTTCAGCTTTCTAATAGATTTTTTAGTGAGACCTGTGAAGACACCATTGCAGTAGTCGAGTCTACTGAAGATAAAAGCATGGACAAGTTTTTCCAAATCCTGCTGTGACAGGGGGGAACTTTTTTTCCATAAATGCCTCACACCTAATAAAAGTAATCTAAAAGCCAATGAGAAAACAAATGTGTTTTGTGTATTTAAAATGTATATATGTTGCCTTAAAATGGCTTAAAGAGTTAATTATCCGACTAAACAACATCAGTTTGTTTTTTTCTGTTCCATATTATGTAATCAATCTCTTAAACCCCACTGTTAAACGAGTGGACTATTCATTACTAACTTCTGTGCAGTCAACCAGTGCACTGCACATACAACCTTTCTAGCCATGCATAATAGAGAGGTTTTCATTGCATTTGAATGGGGATCTGAAAGTTCACAGAAATAGCAATGCAAGGCTGAATAATGAAGGAAATGTGTAATAAAGGACGCTCAAGACATCTAGAGTATATCCATTTGATGGAAAGATGTGTTTTAAAAGCATTACAGTTAATCACCACATAGTCTTAATGGCTGTGCGTAAAAATAATATGTAGTGGGACACTTTAAACCTTAACAAGCTGAAGGTTTTTTGGACATTACTCAGCACCACACACACATGCACACATGAGTCACTACTGACAGCCACAGTTGTCACTATTCACCATGTGCACCACTGTTTTTAGCTAGCTAACAAGCTAAAAACTAACCAGCTAGCTAAAAACTTGATAGCTGTTTACTTAGAAAGTGCTAATTAAACATGAGAAGCTTAACGTTAGGTTATTGTTTTGATTAGCATTAAGGAGCAGCTTAAGTCACATGACTCTGGCTACAACAGTTCTACCATGAAGTAAAAATAAAGACATTTATAATAAAGTTCACTCTTAAAATGTACATTTAATAAGTACTTTAATTAGCCTGACAGCTGATATCTTACCTTGCATTGAGAGGACGGACGCGGATGGCAACTTTAACATTAGCCATGATGCCTTCACGAACTCAACAGTTGGCTTACTCGGAGTAAAATAGCAGTTTCCATGAGAGTATTTGAGGTCTTCTGGCATATTAAACTCCGATAAAAGCTGAAAGAGCGGGAGGAAACTGTCCTGCTATCCGCTGTTCAAGTCATCTCCACCGGCTGCTGGTCGCGGGTTCAACTGAGTGACGAACCCCCGACTGGAGAAACTTCCTGCCGGACAGAGAGAGAGGGAGGAGGGGAGGCTGCTGGATACTCCCCTTACTACGACATATTCAAATATTTATAGATTTTTTTTTGCATGTCTGTTATTATGTAAATCTAGTATTTTAAGAGTAGGGAAGCATACTTTGTTGTCTTTTCTAGCAATTGTATATTTTGTAGATTTCTTACAATCTTTATTTTTATTTTATTGCATGTTTATTATTATTTCAATCTACTTTTTAAAGTGTTGTGGAAAATATTTAGGGAGCATACTGTGTTGTGTTTTCTGATTAAAATATATTTTGGAGATTATTTTAATGATTTTTTTAGACATGTCATGTCCTAGGCTTTTTAATTTCTAAGGTGTGGAAGTGGGCTAACATTAATTAATTGACGAAAACCAAGTGATGAGAATAGATGTGAACAGAAAAACTTGTAAAATGAGTAAGTAATAATAGCTTGGTCTAATTTAAAGCCAATTTAATTAGTGTCGATATGTTCAAAGCATTTCTTTATTTAAAGAAAGTGGTCTCAAGAATGGAGTAACCTTTAATAATTAAGAAAGAAATTCAAGTGATGAAAATGTTTAAAACATAATTATGGAAGTGAAGATTTGTGTGTAAATTGAATAATATAGTTATTGTCAATGGATATGATACATCTACTATCCTTAATAAAACCCCACTGACATTTAGTGTTTACAGCTAGATATTGTTTTTACAACCCAAAATGTAAATCAAATCAAATTTTTTTTTAATCACATACAATTCAGCAACTCCATTTTCTATTCACAAATATTTTCATCACTATTTTAACCAACTCATTTGTGTAACTTCCATCCCTTACATCATGAAACTATTCAATCTGTATACCAATGATAAAGCACACAACCATTTAACACAGAATACTTCTTTATTATTAATATCTAGGTAATGTAAAAAAAACATTTCAATTTAAAAGCAGCAAACAATGCATACAACACTGGTTCAACATGAACTAAAAACAATCACAAACGCAGTCTCGCATTCATGAAATAAACCTGCAGTCACTAGTAGTGGCGGGCAAAGGCAGTGTGTGAAAGTGCTATTCTAAAATGATTAAGACATTTTATTTTATCAGGTGAATTCAAAAACCACCAAATCACATTTTTAAAATCCACTGTAGTAACAAATGTGTCTTTACAAACTATGGCTTGTCTGGTTGAACGTTTGACATTTGGAGAAAATGTTTTATTCTTTGTGACACTATAGTTCGAATCCTCCGAAGTTAGAGGATGACCCCTCTTCCGTCTTTGCCAATTCTGTGCAATGGTATTGGCTGTTTGAAATGTACTAGTATTTCCCTTCGGACACAATCATCTACCATGTTTGCTTGCAGGAAAGTTCAACAGATCTTAAGGAGTGAGATGGTGTGGGCCTCTGGCTACTTCTGACTGATAGGGCTTTCTGGTTCTCACAGGCAGCTTTGCAAAAGAGCACAGGGATTCATGAAAGGCTGCTGTCACTTCACAGGTGGAGAACAAAAGTCAGGGGCTTGCAAAGACTGTGCAGAGGCTGACTGTGGAACAGCTTTGATGCATAGCAGTGGCGAAATCGAAAAAACGGACAACAACAAAGAGTTACCCAGATCTGTCTAGAAAAACACTTTGACAGATGTGACATGGAGCACTGTGGCGATCACAGAAGAGGTGCCGAGTTGTGAGACTGTTGTCATGTAGCTCCCTCTACTGTCTGTTGTGAGACCTGCAGCATCTCCATGTGGCTCTGCAGCTGAGCCAGAGGCAACGAGGGTTTAACGCTCTGTGACCGCAGCTGAAAAGTCTCTATCAGCTCCTGAAATGAGAGAACACATTGAGAGAGAGGAAAGAGTCAAAGTGAGGTCAAATCGCTAGTCAAATAAAATAATTTCAAAGGAATACAATATGAAAGGAATGCAGCGAACCCTCACCGCTGACAAGGCCAAGTTTGTTAACTTCTTCCAATGAGATACGACCTCTTCCTCCCTCAAGGCTCCTCTGTCCACCAGCTCTCTAACCAGGAACAGGTAGTTGTTCCACTGAAACGACATGCATTACAAATGGTTACAAGAGTCAAACAAGATGGGGGAAAAAACTTGTCATAACTCAGTCGGATCATCTCTTAAACACTCCCAATATTTTCTTCACGTATCAAAGTTTCAAACGTTTTGCCTGGTAAAAAGAAGATGTAACATTTTAAGTGTTCTGCTCCATTTTAAATGAGTAAATTGAAACATTTGCACATCTGTTGCCTACAAAATCATCCTTGATCTGTGTTGACCGCAGGGCCTATAGAGGGCCATGCACATACAGGAAAGAGTGAGGTATTTGAGGGGAATATCTAATGCATATAAAAAGGTAGAAGGACATGTAGCACTTTCATTAATATTTTAGTAACTGCAGTTGTACCTCAGTGTCGCTGGCCTTTAGCACAGCAGTGACAGTGAGCGGGGTGAAGAGCAGGTGGAGCGGGGCGGAGGAACAGCAGTCTCTTTCCCACAGCTCAGCAAGCTGCTCCAGCAGAGCTCGGACAAGAGGCTCTGACCCTGAACCAGCAACCACAACGACCCCATCACCTCCGCTACACTCAGAGGGAGAGAGTACAGGCAGCTCTGCAGACACTGAGAGACACAGCAGGAACTCAGGTGTGTTACACAGTACAGCTACTAGACGTTATGTTGCTATGTAACAGTTTACAGGCAAACACAATGCAGGTCACGACATCCTTATTTCCATGTGATTAACAGTCGGTCATTCATAGAATTTCTTACCCAGTTTGCAGCCCAGGAGGACAGTACAGTTAAGAAGCATCTGCTCTGACACCACTGTTGAGAACTGAGTGAAGAGAAGAGAACAAGTGTCATGGTTGTATATTAAAAGTATTATCATTTTTTATAATATATTTTGTAGCTTCTGTCAAGGCTTTAGATTTCACTTTTTAAATGTCTGTCTTCTTTAAAAAAACATTGAAGAATCCTGAAGTAGATTTAGAAGTTAGAATGTCATTGTTATGAATGAAGCTTCAGAGTGTGATACTAAAAGGAATAGGCACATCCACCCAAACGTTGTCTTTGTTTTGTTGCACTTGTGTGTCCCATGTACCTTTCTGCAGGCCAGTGTGTCTCCAACTCTCTGTAGCAGCGTTTTGAGCTGAGGGCCGGTCGGCAGCTCCTCATCGGTCATGGGGCCAACAGCAATGCTCAGCCACTCCTTTATTAAAAGTACATTTAAGAAAGACAACATTCACTTTGACCTCAGGGAGAAGTACATTGATTCCGTGAAAGGGCTTCTTTTGCTCTGGAATTCCCTTCTGTGTATGCAGGCGTACCTTTATCTCAACGAGGATGTCCGAGGGCAGTGAGGCGCTGTGGCTGCAGGTTGGAGGGCAGGATGTCACTCTCTCACTCCCTTGTTTCCTCTTGGGAGTAGTGGGCTGCTCCTGGGTGACCGGCTCGAGCACGGCCCCCTCCCCCTCCCTGCAGCCTGGAGCCACCGGGCTGCCCACCGCCTTCATCACACGATCATACCGGCTCTTCCACTCGCGTCTTATCAGGGCTGATAGGGGGGGAAAACAGAAAGTCCTTAGGGAACTTTAAATCGCAGCAACGGTGTCTATTTTCCTTTCACCTTCAATGCCAGTGATGTTCTGTAAGAGAACCCGTCAGCACAGACAGCTTTAAGGTTGTTCCTTTAATGCATCATATCTTTATGATATGTTTCTGCATGATGTAGCATGTTCACTACACACACAAAGGTGTAGAAATGCAGTTTTTAGATCAGAGAAGTCCTTGTCAAATTAGTATAGTGCAATAGGCCTCAACAATTTAACTGGAAGCGAGGAAGGAAATGGTGTTTTACTCCAGCAGCTGAATCCTTTTTGGTCCTTCATAGAAGCCAGTATATATACCATACATTATGGCATGAGAATTCACTTGCATCGATATCAAAATAGGGATCCACTGAGCTGATACTCCGGGTAACTGTTTGTCCAAATACGACATTATAGGATAGATGATCGCATCAATCATGACAGTGTCACATTTTTGTCAATGTTGTCATAATATTCAGTTAAGAGTATTCAGTCACAGCAGTGCCGTACATTTAATGTGGTTCAAATTCAATTTGAGAACAAGGTATTGGGTCAGTGAATTTAGCATACAAAGAAGCAACCCAAGCATAAACATCCAAAAGACTGTTTTGAGAAATGGAGTGAATCGATTTAAAGTGCCTTTTATGTTAAGATCATGAAAAGGCAGAAGCATGGTGCGTTAGGTGTTACCTGTGATGTTGGCAGAGAGCCAGCTGCTGGCTTTCTCTGTTGCAAGACGTTTGGTGATGTTTTCAGATGTGTTCAGGACCTGCAGAGAAAGTAAAAGGAATAAATCAGAAACACAAGTTTATAATGTGTTTTTTCTTTACTGAGTAAAAAAAAAAAGGTGTGATTTGTAGGTCTTACAGCAGGGGAGGTCTCATGGGGGAGCAGAGTGCGTATGGCCTCAGGACTGTTCTCACAGCAAAATCTGCAAAACCACATCGAGATTACCACACAGCAGAGAAATGCTAATGTGTGTGACGACGAGGCCAGAAGAGCAGCAGTTTATTTTACCTCGACCAATCAAATGGCTATAAAAATCACATTAACTTCTGTATATGGATTCAGAGAAGGACAGCTTTGAAAAACGCTGTCATACCTGGTGGCTTTTGCCAAGGCCTCCAATCCTGCGACACACAGCTGAGCACAAATGGAGTCGTTCAGTTTCGAAGGATTTGAGTTTGGCGATTTCAACCCATCTCTCAGCATCTTGTCCCCTCGCTCCACCAACTCACTCACTAACGTCGCCCTGTTGATGATCCCCAAATAGACACATAAACACACACGTACTTAGAACAAAAATCACCTACATTACGTATAGTTCAGTTTGGATATGTTAAAAATAGTGCTTTTAATACACATACATCTATACAAGTGGGTGAATTCACAGCAGCCACCACCTTAGTGCTGATAAATGTGGATTGTTTAACAGTCTCAGCTTCTTAGGAAGGCAACCAACCAAAGTAGCAGGCTGATTAGCTGTTATTCTAGGTAAAGAAAAGGAATGGAAAGAGAGAAAGATAGAACTTGTTGGTCCTTACTTCATGTGCTTCACGGCGTTTGATCCAACTCTCTCAGCGACAAACTCCACGGTGCGACGCAGCGACGGAGGCTGGTTGTGAAAGAAGGCTTGCTCGAGGTCCACCTGTCATGTTTAGTGGATGATTTAAATACTCGCACACACAGGCAATTCGTTGGTGTCCTTCTACACTTCTCTTCACCGCCTGCATTGACTCACCTGCAGTTTCTGCTGTGACCTGTTGGCAGTCGGCGTGTCCTTCGGGTCGGCAGAAGTGGGAGTGATCTTGCGGATAATTCCTCCACTCTTGGCTGCGCTTCCAGACACAAAAGCAGCTAGGAGCTTACGGAACTCACCTAGATGAAAACAGGGCAGACCATCGACACACATCTTAAACAAGTGCATGTTTAATTTGTGGCGACAAGTGAAGATATGCTGTACAGACCAAATGAGATCTAAACCAGTGGTTCTCAACTGGTCAGGCCTCGGGACCCACTTTTCCTTTGTCAATAAATCGCGACCCGAAATTTGAACCACTCGTGCTAAAAAAATCGTGCTGTAATATATACGCTTTTCAGCAAACAATATTAATGAAAGTGAAGTACAGTGCATATCCCTTATATCCCTTCACAGAACCCAAACATGCTTTTAAATAAGGTTTAATGAGATGATGGAATCAAAGCTGAACTGTATAACATAAAAAGGCACACATGCTGAAAACCCAACCCCAGAAAGAGGGTCTGGGGGGATTCTCCCCCAGGAGATTTTTAGAATTACTAACATATAAACTACGCATTCTGGTACACTCTGAGAAGAAAATAAATACATCTATTACTACCCGGAATATTAATAATATTTGATGCCATTGTTTGTTTTCCACTTTGTTCTGACAGCTTGCTGCTCCTCACAGAGAGAAGAGTAAAGAGGAGATAGTCTGTGTGACTTACTTTAAATTGTGGGTAAGGGTAGATAGCCCCCATTGTTCTGTGACCTGTCAGTCATCAGACCGGGGGTCATATTTCATTATGTGTTCATTTTTATCTGAAGTTGTACCCATGGATGTATAAAGAATAGTTCTACCGCAAAGTTATTCTCCGTGGGGACTTCCGGCAACAATCTTGATTCTGATTGGCCGGTACTTCCAGTCCAACGCCTACTGCATGCACAGCGTTAGAAAATCGGACCTTCAAAATAAAAGTTTGACTTTTTTTTTTCCTTCAATCACACATCTGCGACCCACTCAAAACGGGCCCGCGACCCACTTTTGGATCGCGACCCACCAGTTGAGAACCACTGATCTAAACTATCTGGCTCGTACTTGACAGCCTTTTACCTCTCGTATAGAGAACACTAACTATACTACTGTAAAATATCCATGTATAACATCTGAAATGTACCCTTAATCTCTGAAGGGACATAAAAGATGTCTCATCATGTTCTACTTACCCAGAAATGGACAACATGTATAGAGGAGCTGTTGATCAACCAGGGGAATGCAGTCCTACAAAAATAACAAAATCAGTAAAAAAACAGCATTTATTAGAGAAACAGCTTTTTAATGCGATAATTCACTTACTAGCCCTGCAGCATTCGTGATGCCGTCCTCCAGCTTTGCCACCTCAGTGAACTCATTGGTGAAGAAAATATCCTCAGGAATCACTGGGATCTTCACAAGGTAAACACAAAATATGAGCCATGTAGGATGTATTACTAGCTGTAAACAAAAACACATAATATTGGGTAGTGTGTCTCACCTGGAACAGCCACCCTAACACTGAAACCATTAGGAGTTTGTTCAGGTAACACATTTCTCCACATCGGCCCAGCAGCATTTTCCTACAAGCACACAAAAATAAGATTTAACGTGATGAAGTGTATTTGTACAAGGTTCTTTAGACACTTATTTCAGATGTGTTTTATACCTTTAGATTGGGTGCATTACTTGTCATGTTCTTGGTTGACTTTGTCTGACCTGCTGATTCTGAATTCGCCTTCTTTTAAAAACTAAAATGTACAGAATATAAACGTGCAGCGATGGACACAGACCTGTACAGGAGGAGCAGTTTTCCCAAAGCCGTTCTGTAGCAGAGCAGCCGAGGGCCGATGAAGTCCAGCATGGAGAGGAACTCCACCAGCCAGGGCACCGTCAGGATGGTGCGCCTCCTCTTCATGCTGTTACTCAGCACCGCACACACATCCAGCACCGGAACACTCTGTGGGACCAAGATATCAGTGTTTAAAGGTCTCCTATTATATACTGTTTTTCATCAATATATTACAGGTCTCAGATATATACAAAACATGTCTCTGAAGTGTTTGGCTCCAAACACCAAACAGATCATTGCAGCATTACCCATAATCCCCTCTGTTTCAGCCCTGTTTCCAAAGTGCTGATTCTCTGTCTGTTACTTTAGATGAAAATAAGGAGCCCCTCCCCACGCCCCTCTGAGAGACATTTGGTTACAAAGAACACAATGGTGCTCTAGGAGGAGATTCAGGTGATAAGGTGGGGGGGGGGGGGGGGGTTACCTTGGTTGCTGATTGGCTAATGGTTACACAAGACAACAAAATCGTTATGACATCATAAAGTGGCCAAAATCTGATCAGCTCATTTTCAGACAGGTTTTTATAGAAATGGATCAAAAAGAGAGAGAGTCTTTTTTCCTGAAACTTCCAGAGTCTCTTTGCGCAGAGGGGACACATGTTGATGTAGAAGAGACATGAACTAGTGGATTTTGCATAATAGGTGACCTTTAAAATGTGAATGCCTTGAAGCAGACATGCATTTATTTACCTATTTGAACAACTGCTGGACTTGACTAAACACAGATCACAAGAGTACGTTTATAACCCTTCCTTTTATCCCCTCACCTTGCTGCGCAGCGCTATAGCAGCCTCCTGTATCTCCCTGGAGGGTCTCTCAGATGTTTGATACGGCAGAAAGGAAATGAATCCCAGGAATTTTGCGAGAAGACGAGCGAGGAGCAGCACTGAGGTGAAACGCTGCTTCTCATCCTGATCAGGCAGATACAACAGAGAAAAATTGTTTACATAACAATCAGAAGCATGTCGATCAGATCAGATAGGACTTTTGTGTTTGTTTGCAATTAAAACGACTCCTGAAATATCACAACATATTTTGCCTAAGTTGGAAAAAACTAGCTTGATCCAAACTGACAGAGCACTTGAAGGAAAAGTGGTGGAAACAAGTTTTCACTAACATCCCTTTGTCTGGGTGTTTCTCAATGTCGAGGAAAGCAGCTCCAGAGCAACTATTTCAAGCATACTACGTCATCGAGTGCCACCCATAGACTGTGGTCCCACCGAAGGACTGTTCCAATGTCCAGGATGCTTGGAATTCTACCGAGGCCGGCGTACTTCGTTGCGGGAAATTTCGAGGCTGCACATGTGTATCCTCCGCGGTCTTAAAATCCCCACAATGCTTTGCGCACGGACCAATTTCCAAATCTTTGGCGGAAATCGCGCTCCATTTAAGGCGGGGCCTCGCATATGACGCACACCTGTTAGCCTGTTCCACCATTCTTCGTTTTCCGAGGCTAGGAAGGATTCTTGCCTCGCTTCTGAAGCAACTGACTCAGAGGTACATGTGCTACCAAGCAAGCCTCCTCGAGATTGAAAAACACCCACTGACTGATTGTATATACCTGCTGCTCCAGGTCCCCCTCTCCCTCCCCCTCCCCGATGGAGGGGGGGCTGAGGATGGACACCTCGTCCAGCTGAAGGAGCTGCTGGCACAGACTGTCCTGCAGGTGCTGGTTCAGCTGGCAGCTGGGACACAGTATGCAAGACTTGTTAGATCAGAGGGACAACAGACACAAGGGCTGCTTGATTATGGCAAAAATCATAATCTCGATTATTTGGGTCAATAATTGATAATTAACAGTTGATTAACGTGAACTTTAAGTATCATTCAACTGAAAAACCAATAAAAAAAATAAAATAAAAAAAAACGTTTTATTTCAATTATGTTGTTTTCATAATCGTTGCAAGCCAAAATCTTAATTGCGATTAAAATACGATTAATTGAGCAGCCCTAACAGACACTGAAAGCTTTTATGAATAAAAAAAAGGGCATCTGTCAAATAAAAAAAAGGACATATATGAGTATTATTATTACTTGAAGAATAACAAAACGTACAACTAGGCAAAATATTTCTTTACGTTACGTCTATGATGGTCAAAATAAATGAGAATCACGATATTATCTCGATAATAATCAAAATTGTGTTTAAATCGTATTATCACAGATAAACAGACTGTAATTATTTAAAACATTTGCATCATAGATAGGACAAACATCTTTCTTTTAAATGAATATCCTTTTGTAGTCCAAATCTGAGAATCCCAAGTAAGGTTTTCATAAATCCTAAACTCCCCCTGCATAAATAAATGATGAATAAACACAGACAGATGTTAACATTGTGCGAGTATGTTTATTCTTACATGATAGAGTTGATATTTGACATCAAATGGTGTATTTATTGGTATTTGCTTACCAGCTAGCTGCCTGCAGGAAATCCCTGAAGAACTCCTGGTGATCGGGGAAGGATGGAGGAGGGCAGGGGCCGGCGACTCCCTGAGGCTGGATGAGACGCTCCTCCAGACGCTTCAGACGCCCCAGGCTGTCAGCTCCCAGCATGCCTAGCAGGTCAGCATCGGCAGTATCACCAGGAGAGCTGTTCACACTGGGGCCTTTGCACATCTAAAAGGAAAAAAAACGCAGGCGGATTTATGGTGACAGCTTTGTTCAATATGCCACACTTCTGTTACCGCTATCTACTGTAAGTGATGAACTGTACGTCAGTGTTTCTGCCAGGGCTGAGAGGGCGTCCACCCCGAGAGCGGGGGGGGGGGGGGGGGGGGGGGGGGGGTTGTGATGTCATGTCCCGTGACTTGAATTTTGAATTGAGCCGTCCCGTATAGATACCATCTCTTTACGTATTAGTGGTGGGAATTCCGGCTCTTTTTAGTGAGTCGGATCATTTGGCTCGGCTCACTAAGAAGAGCCTCTTCATGTTACCACAGTTTACCACGTAGCCACTGCGAGGCTCCGGCGCTCGCAGTTCACGCGCGTGCTCCACTAGCACCCCCCGTCAAGGCTCGCCGGCAGTACACTTTCCGTCACAGGAACACGCTTTGCTGGCGGCGAAAAGAATCCCACCAGACTCCTTTGCCCCTCCAACAGAGGGATGTCCTTGTCCTTTTTCCTTTTCGTCAATTCAAGCGATAAAAACTCGATCTTCTCTCGGCTCGAGTTCAGGGCGTTCCGAGCTGAATAAGGGCGTCAAATGACGGCAAGACAGAAACGCTGCTGTACGTAATAAAACCCCATTTTAAAATATCTGAAAGCCACGGTTTACCTGAACAAGCTGCTTCAGAAACAGTCGAGCAAAATGGGAATGGTTTCCGGCCGAGGTCAGTTGACTCATCATTCCCCTAAACAGGACAGACAGAGGATTAGATAGAAAGAAACATTTAAATATTGAAATCACACCCGATCCGTAAACAAAAACATTGGTAAAAGTTGTATAGACTTGCCTTATCCTGCTTCCGAGAGCAGGATCAAAACTCCACCCTGGCTCTTTGTGATAGTCCTCCCATTCTCGCAACACCTCGTAAAAAATATCTCTGAGAAAAGAAAGTAAAGAGCCTGCTTGAAATCAAGATCTTTACATATATAGAAGTTTTGACTGCTCTGCTACACATTTTCAGACAGGGAGTTTTCATGAAGCGAGAGGTACCTCTGTTTTTTGAAGATGTGGAAAGCTCTGTCACTACCAAAGTTGGAGCGGTTGTCAGTAGCCGGCTGGAATGGGACTGAGTGGATGAAAGTAGAAACTGAAAGAGAGAGCTGGAACAGATGGAGGAATAAAATAAAATCAGTTAAAATAGTAGAGATTAAACAAATATGGTAATAAGGTCCCATGTCATGCTTTTCTGTAGCTTTTGTAAACGGTCTGCAGTCACAAACCCTCAAAGTACACCCTGTAGCGAGTAAAACGCTAACACAGAAAAGACCTGTCTGTGCTGCCCCAGAACGCCTCGTTGGAGATTTCTCTTTTTCCATTGTTTACTTCTTGGGTATAGTGACGTATTTGGGTATAGTGACGTTACGTCCGCGGAGCCGTTACGTTTGGACCAATCTGCGGACTTCCTCACACACACACACTCGGCAGGACGTTGCGAGGCTCTCTGCTGCGAGGAGCGGACAGTGTGAGCTGGCTCACTGGTGTGGGGTCGGCGAGACACCGCGGAACTCAGCCTGAGCACACACACAAACTCCCAGCCAGGCTGCGGGTGTGTGTATCGGGCTGGGTTTCGCTGTCTTGCAGACGGCCACTGGGCTCACAGGGAGGGGGGGGCAGGAGCTCCAACAAGCCGTTTAGGACAGAGAGTGAATACACATACTATACAGAGGTGCTGTTTGAGAAACCAATGTGAGTTTTTGGAAAATTGCACAATATAAATCTATTCTAGTGGACCTCAACAATGGAATTATGATCAGTAGAAATGGCCATGACATGGGACCTTTAAGTTTCTATTGATAAGTTGTATCTTTATCTCAGTCTTCCTCATCTTCCTAAATGTCTCCTGTGTCCCTGTCCTACCACTATGGATTAATATCCCAATTATGTTCTCAATTAATCGATCAATCATTGTCTACAAAGTATCAACTTGTTATGTAATATTTCCCTTTTTTTTTATTACTCAGATGGTTAATAGATTATCAAGATTTTCAGATGTAATGACAACAACAGTTAAAGCTATAAACATTCAAAATAATAAGAATTGAAATCAAGTGTTCTCGTAAATAAGAGAAGTGTGTATTGATCACCCAATATTTCAGTCTATTCAGTATCACTCAGGGAAACAAAAAAGCCTTTATAGTGTTTCACCTTGGCTGTGCTCCCCTCCTGGGCCTGAGTCAGGAGGTCTCTGAGATCCGGAGAGAAAGACGCCACTCTTTCGTTCTCTGCCAGCAGACGCAAGGTGCACTTGTCCAAATTAGAAACCAACCTGACAAGAAATCACAACTACAATCAACTCACGAAGACTGGAGGAGCCACATCAAATATCAGGGAGCTGTGAACTGAAATATTCCTGTTAGTGAGAAGGAGAAAATTGCAGGAAACTGTGAAATGAGAAATACAAAGAACTCACTGAAACTGATTCTCCAGAACCTTCACCGCAAAATACACACAGTTGTGTACTTGTCTCAGGTAGCTTCTCTCCAGAACTTCTGTAAATGTGACCAAAAATGCACTTAATAGCTATTTCAAATCTAACAGAAAGTCAAAAAAATCGGAATATATTGATATAATGGGAATAAAGTGACATATAAAAGAGTTACACACCTGTATTACCCATACACAAACTGCCCTGTTCTTCCTCATCATGAGTGTGAGGCGACCGAGACGTGAGCAACTGCACCACAAAGAAAAGCTCCAGGAAAATGTTTGGCACAAGGTTTTCTGTAATGATACAAACAAACACATTTTCTTAGATCTTAGATACATTTGTTTACTTACTCCTAAAGCATTTGAAATACAGAAGTATTATTTTTTTTATGTTTAAGTCTGATTACCTAATCATTAACTTATCTTAAAGGTAGGGTAGGTAAGAATGGAGAAACCAGCTCGAGTGCGCTAGAATTTGAAACTACGCAGCCGAAAAAAATCTGCCCCTTCCTTCAGACTTCCTTACAGAGCCCCTCCTCCAACACACACGAACGCGCACATGACCAATGAGGGCACGAGATAAGTTTGTGCACAGATGGAAGGCTGACAGGCAGGTAGGCCATCCAGTTACTTTAGCCGGGCCGGCTCAGATGATTGGTCGTGCTTTTTACAGCGCCACGGCTTCCACTGATGACATTTTTTTAGCATTTCATGTATTCATTGCTATCGGGATGTTAAGAGCATTCCATGGAATATAACAAAAAGTGTTTCTGAAGTGAATTACCTACCCCACCTTTAAGAATGTATGCATTCGAAAATACATTGAATTTTTCTTCGTGTAGCACACTAGCACCACCTTGTGGTCACTTACCAGAGATGCAGGTACAGTACAGCTCAGCCAGGAGATCCAGTTCCAGAGAGAAGGTGACTTTGAAAGGTTCGGGACAGGGTGTCTGCAGGTCTGGTGTAACTTTAGATCCCATCCTAAGCCCTGACTTAGTGGGGGTGCAAGGGTCCAGAGAGGACGACAGGGGAGAGCCGACCTGCTGAGCTCGCTTTGTCCTAAAAACAAGACATTTCTGATTTAAAACAGCAGAGATACACTGAGGTAACGAGCAAGTGATGCTGCAGTGAGTGGGGTAAACAAAGCACAGCAGAGGTTACTATTGATACAAATAACAAAACAAAAATGATATGTTGTGACATCTGTCAAAGAACCTCAGAATCATAATGAATGTATATCATTTTAATTACAAAATGTAGTTCACCTTTTTTTAAAACTTTATGAAAAACTGCAAGGCATTATTAAGCCATTTTAAATCCATATTGTACACTGGCACACATAAGAAGACATGTCGCACTAACAGGTTAAAAGTATAAACAAACACATTTATAGTGAAAAAAGAGATCTACAAGAAAGCCATAGCGTAATATCATAAAACCCTATGACAACTAAAGTCTGTACCTTCATGAATATGAGATTCTATCTAATTTACTCAGATCCAGGTAGATATAAGCAAGTATATAAACTGTAGTGTTGGGGAATAGATGACTACATGCAGTTCAATAATGTAGCCTGTGTGAGATCTGACCTGCCCCGGTTACTAAATTAAACACTGACACACTTTACTCTTTGTCACTTCAGTCTAAGTATAACTATATGACTCATCTATTGTGATCATTTTCAACAAACTAGTTTGGATGTAGTCAAACTACGTTTTCAAATAAGTGTTAGCTTATCTTGCCACTGGTAAAGTGCAGGAAGAGAGTGTTGTGACGAACTTCCTAGTGTTTGCTGCGGTGCCAGCTGCAGTTTCCCAAAATGAGAGTAAACCCCCACATGACCGGTGATGAAATACAAGGTCCTTGCAACAGATCCTGCAGTTCGCTCAGAAGTACACCGTTGAAAACAAAGTATTTCAACCTGGAAATTTCACATAAGTCACCAAATTGAAGTGAATAAAAGCCACAGTTGCCAACATTTGAGTTGTTTGCCCCCCCCCCCCCCGTAGAGCAGCGTTTCTCAAAGTGTGGGGCGCAGAGATGTGATAGGTGGGTCGTGAATGGATGCGATGAATGGAAGATTTATTTTTTTTAATACATTTTTTGGTAGAGCTAGAGAGAGCACACCTTTATCTATTTAATATAGCCTAGTTGTACAAAATAAAGTAAGAAATCATTCCAATGTGTACTATAGGACAGTAAAAAAAGAAAGGGGAGTGATTAGTAAAATATGCATAAATAAAAAGAAAGAGCTAACTAACAAGTTTAAATGATTTGTTATTGGTTGTGATCATATTCTAAAGATGTTTGGATTATTGAAAAGTATACAGCTCCCTTTCATCTGAGTGTTGAGAGCTGTGTCCATAAATTCATGTTGTGCTCAAAGTGCACCAGATTGATGCATTTCACTTTAAAAAAGGGGTGCATGCCCCCGGACCCCCCTAGAGGATGTGAGGTCCACCCCCAAATAAAGCAGGTTAAAATAATTAAATTGCATACATTTTATTTTAGTAAACACTGAAAACAGGTCCCACAGACCCAAACAGCACACAAAGGTTAAAGGTAAGCATATAATAATGTTAAAATGTGCTAAATATGCTGTCCTGGCTCCAAGATGGTGGAATGAGCTCCCCATTGACATCAGGACGGCAGATAGCTTGCACATCTTCCGGCGCAAACTGAAAACTCATCTCTTTCGACTCCACTTCGAGCGTTAGAATTATTAACAAAGCACTTTTATACTAATAAAGGACTGGCTTACCTAAAGCCAGTTGAGTAGCACTTGAAATGTTTGGCTCTATGAAACCTGATGTACTTATATGATTCTGTTTTCTTCAAGGTTGTGTCTTCCTGGTCGAATGTACTTATTGTAAGTCCCTTTGGATAAAAGCGTCAGCTAAATGCAATGTAATGTAAAAATATATACATTGCAAAAAACAAAAAAAGAGGAGTAAAATCTCACGAGTTGTTTTATTTTTTGAAAGTAGCTCTCATCCTAAAAAAGCTTGGAGACCCCTGTTATAGAACGATACATTTGACAATTTTAAGCTTGGCCTACCATTTTATTGGAGGGATGAGGAACAGGTGGGGCTTGAAAAGGCCCATCTGCTCAAAGTGGGGAATGGCAGAAACAGTTTGAGAACCACTGACCTAGAGTAAAGAGTTAACGTCTGCGTCAGAATAAGTAGAATAATGATGTATGTTCACTCACTTCTCTCTCTTGAGAAGCTCCCTCTCCTCCTGCAGACTCGGGGGACTCCCCACTGTCATTGGCCCCTCAAGCGCCTCTGCAATTAATGAGGGGCCCGAAGACTCACTGAACGGGGTGGAGGTGAAGCAGGTCTTTGGTTTGGAGTGCGGCCGCTCTGCACTGACCGGTGTTGGGTTGATTCTTCTCGATGGTTTAGATGCCCTGAAGGATAATAGAAACTGTTAGACAAATCAAAAATATCAATGATCAGGTGGAGTGATGATGGAGTAAGAGTTCATTTTTGTTAAACTGAGAGTTGTTTCGACTCACGGCGGTGAAATGGGTGATGATCCAACAGGAGGGAAGTCTTCCAAGTTGTTGAAGTTAAGTTGCTCCACAGATGGAGGTGAAGCCTGCTCACTTATCCTACTATTCCCTCCTCCTCCTCTTCCTGACCTCCTCTCATCACTTTGATGTCCTCCACGCCACCCTCCATGTTTCCCCTGTCCCCCCACTGCCATGCTGCCTCCACCTCTCCTGCGGGCTTTTTGTGACTGGAAGCTGGGGCTGTTCTGGACGTCAGGAGGAGAAACCATGTAGTCTCCCAGATTGATCCTCTGGTTACTCCGACGATCAGCGCCTGAAGGCCTGGAGGCGGGGCTCCACCCTGGAGTAAAAGGGGGGCTATTGAAAGACCCTGACTGACCAGCAGCATCCCACTCTGTTCCAGGGGACACTGAGGGAGCAGGAGAAAACAGCTGGACACGGCTGGCACTCCGAGAGCCAGCTCCACCACTAGCAGACCGACTACCTCTCTTGTCACTGAAGCTTTGCGTCTGTGCAGCAGGTTTGTGTCGGCTGGGGGTCTTAGCTGGCGTCGCAGGACCATGGGTGAGGGCCTGACTGCTCTGCACTCTCAGGAAGTTCAAAAGAAATGGGACAAATTCTTGTTTGAGAACTGTCACCGCAGGTTCTCTGAAGGCCAGCCTGTCATCTTCCTGAGGGAAAAAGAGATACAAATGACAAAATAAAATATTATTGATAGCTGAAATTACTCAGATGAATGTATTGGTTTAATTTAGAGCTGCAAAAAGACAACTGACACAATCATAATTGCCAATAATAATAATAATACATTTTATTTAAGGCGCCTTTCATGACACCGTACAATTAGTTAAATACTCTAAGAGACAAAAGCAACAGAACATGATAAAAACACAAACATACCATCATGGAGAGGACAATTCAAGTGGACACAAAAGATTGGGAAAAGGTATTCAGGGGAAACCGATGATAGGGAGCACGACAGTGAGTAGGCTGATCTGAACAGGTGGGTTTTGAGGAGGGACTTGAATGTGCTGATTCAGATGTCAGACTGAATAATAAAACATATTGGGATGCAGATATTTAATTATCTATTCTTTTCACTGTTTTTACAACATATCATTAGGTTTTGGACGAAACTAAACATTTAAATACATCATTTTTTTGGGGGGGGGGGTTGTTCCACGTTATATTGAAAACGACTGACCAAACGATTGATTTATAAATCAAGAAAAATAATCGGCAGTAGAATCATCAATAAGAAATATGTTCTAGTTGAAGCCCATGTTTATTTACAACATGGACAGAGCAAGGTTGTTGCTGCTGTTATTGTAAAAGCAGATTGAGCTCATTTAGTTGGGCAAAGTTGTGTGTAACAGTGAATAGCTTCATCACCACATGAAGCCTACATCAGCAGTAGAAGCAATACTAACTGCAAGATTGAAATGTTATTCTTTATGTATATATATACACACATTAATACTGCTCTTACTTTTCCAATGATAAAACTGAATGTTCAGATGTTTTTCAGGGAGCATATTGTAACACCTTGACCAGTCTTTTGGCTAAGTCTGGATTTATTTTACCATGTTTATTAAGTATAATTTGCACTGTGCTTTCTTTCAAATAACAGCATCCTGTTGCAGGCCTGTTTACTGAGTGGACACAGCCTTCTTCAGATAGTAATAATAACAGTACCATGTCAAAAAGTGTTGGTAAACTATGTGTTAATGCTACATTTTCTGGAAGTAAAGTTGACATCGTAGCATCTGGTCTGCAGTCCATGCAGGATACAGCTAGCTTAGCCCGTTAGCCCTGCAGCTAAAAGTTTTGTTTACAATCAGTTGAGTGCTATGTCATCTCATAAAACACAATATACAAAAGCACTGGGGAATAAGATATCTCACATATGTGTCTCGTAATCATTTCAGACTAACCTTATTATTCTTTAGCCAGTCCAAGACCGTTTTATTGTCCACTTTCTTCAACAGAAGAGATTCCAAAAGAGCCGCCATTCTGGTGCGGAGCTACGCGGATGAAGGACTGAGGGGAAAGGGGCGGGGGCAGCGTCTGCGCAGGCGCGTACTGCGTATGACGTATTGATACAAGTGTGCAGCTGGCAGAAGCTGATCGTCGTATGTTATGGAGCTAATTTCCTGCAATAACTCCACAAACAAACTAAATACCATACAAATGTACCATCTACAAACTAATGCATTAAGTTCTCTATCAGATAAACACATAATATGTTTCTAATATGTGTTTGTCTGATAGATATGTTTTTTATTTGCAAAACGTAATGCATTAGTTTGTAGATGGTATTTGCAAACCACACTGTTTGTTAGTGAATCATAAGGCATTTGTAAAATGTGTTTAGTTTGTTTGTGGAGTTATGGCAGGAAATTAGCTCCATAGTATGTAATGTCTTGTTGCTTTGTATGTCTGCCCCTGGACTTTGGTGTATGTACAATGTATGATGTTCATGTATGATGTTGAATAGATGAATACAAAATAAATTTAAAAAGCTGATCGTCGTTTCCATGATCCCTAGCTAGACTATTATGACTACATTTTTATAAACATTGAGAGCAGTGTTCTCAAACTCAAGGCTTATATGACCTATTGAAAACTTGTATAAAAAAACAACTTAATAAATACAATAAGGTACTTACTTTTTACATTATCTTCATGTCTGGTTGTGCAATACAGCTGAGGTATTAGTGAAATATACACATCAATTACAAAGATACAGTTACTAACATCGATTGTTATCCTTAAATAACATCTTCTTATTACAGACACATGCATTTCCTAACATTCGGTCTATATGCTGTAAAATGTATTATCTCTTGGATTTACACACGGCATCTATTGCACGTCTGTCCGTCCTGGGAGAGGGATCCCTCCTCTGTTGCTCTCCCTGAGGTTTCTCACATGTTCCCTTTAAACTGTGGGCTTTCTCTGGAAGTTTTTCCTTGTACGATGTGAGGGTCTAAGGATAGAGGGTGTCGTTTTTCTCATACTGATATTCTGAACAATCTGTGCTGTTGTATTTGCTGTAAAGTGTCTCTACTGTAGGCTAATTTTATTTTATGTACAGCACTTTGGCTCGACCAAAAATCGTTTAGAAATGTGCTATATAAATAAAACTTGATTTGATTGGATTAAACATGATGTCATTAATTGCTACTCCTGGAAGCTGCTTGACATCTTTCTTGATCCATTTTCGTCAATAATACATATGTACAATTTAGTCATTTGGACTGTCTATAGTGTCATGTTTTACCCTTTGTTAATTATTGTGTCCATACATCTATTGCATGTCTGCCCCTCGTGGGTGCAGGAATCTTTCTCAGTTGTTCTTCCTGAGGTTTCTTCTATTCTTAACAGGTTTTTGGGAGTTGTTTTCCTAATCTAGAGGGTCTATTGCTGTACATAATATTGAAAAGCCCCGTGTGGTAAATATAGACTTGATTAAAATGAATAGATCTAAAATCTTCAATGTATTCATTTTTCTGGGTTGTTTTGGTTGTATCTTGTATAAATCGTTCTTAATGAAGATTAAAACAAGGGGCTACAATAAAAAAAAACGGGGAAAAAACCATACACAGGATTATGTCTGCATGCGGAATGAGTATTTTATTTATAACCACTTTATAAAAATAAAATACAAAATAATTTCAAAAGAAAAAAGAAAAAAAACACTGTACAAGGCATTGGTATGACACAAATGATAGAATAAACATAAATAATTACAGTTATATACAATGCAAAACTCCCACTTGTTACATTCTTTCCTTGAAACTGTACAGTAACATTTCAAAACCATGACGTACATTACAACGTAAAAATATCCACCATTAAAAAAATCCCGACAATTGAAGTCAAAATGATGGATGGGTGAATTAGCAAATGTCACAATAAATAGTTTCTGTCAAATATTTAGAAGTTACTTACAAGTAATTCAATGTAATGACATGAGAAGTGTACAAGTGCACACCAAAGCTATCATTAGTTTCCGCCTAAACTTTGAAAATAAATTAAAACATCTGGGTTTCTTTTGCTGGCATATGGGTATTTAACCACAGATACCCAGCAAGCTATAAAATAGGACACCTTTCTATGAGCAAGCCACTTTAAAAAGCGACAAAGAAAATCTCATCTGGATCTCAACTAGTACTACATCTCCACATCACTTATGTGCATTAATAATAAAGAAAACATGAGAATATATCTGATTATCTTTAGAAACCAGCAGCACTGTTTACCGTCTGTTCCTCCCTTTCACTGAAGCCCGTTAGCATTTAAGTTTACAATAGTTATTTTTTATTTCAATAATTACTTTATATTTTACAGGTATATATTAAAAGTCTGCACAACTGCGTTCGGAACTTTGAAAGCTTAGAATATCTTGAAATCTGGAGTTGAAAGAGGGACGATTCAAAGATTGATTGCTGGCGACATGTAAGGAATTGAACGCTCCAGATTGAGAGCATACTGTTAACACACACATCTTGAATGCTGCACACAGTCGATCGAAACATTTCCCCACGCACTCTCACAGAAAAACATGGATCTCTCCGGTAGAAGCACAGCTTGGTAAGCACAAGAGTCTGACAGCATTGATTTCAGTGTTGATATATTGACCTCGCTGACAGACCTTTCACACACAAGGAGATGAGTGACAGAAAGGCTTGGCTTGGCCCGAATAGTGGAATGATCTCCAACACAGACAAGGCTCAGTCATCCCTCGCGTTGCACAGAGGGGCAGAGAGGAGACATTAAGGCGACTGACTGACTGAACGCTGTCTGCCTTCAGGATGAGTCATCATAGCTGCTCTGTGAGCGGTGATATCTGCAAGGTCTGCACAAAACAGCACGCGTTATACATCAATCTCGGTGCAATCTCATATTATCAAATCTCAAGTCGAACCACATCTGCAAAATCTACAAAAATATTTGGCAATGTGATTTTTTGTGACCGCTAATGTGGTTGCATGAGGTACTCATCCAAAATCAGTTTATTACAGCATAGATCAAGGCTCCAGGGACCAGTATGTACTTGTAAGACAGTGAGGTAAAGGGAAGAAAATATACTAAATATACTGTACACTTAAACTGATATCAAAATATGTTCAACAGCAGAACATTACTTTGCTTTTTTAGATTTCCCCTTAGGGATTAAAATAAAAAGGTCTTCTTTGTGATGTTAAACGCTGTTTCTTCATAATGGGCCATAAAGTGATCTACTGTAAATAATAGACTGACTATAGTAAAGTACCTCATGCAACCCCACCTAAAAACATCCGCACTATCCCTTTGATTCTTCAAATCACAGTTGTAAAGTCTATTCTCCTTTTTATTCTGGACATTCCATCATGTCAGTATTTGCACTGAGTACAGTCCTCTGGGTTCGTACAGTCTATCATATTCCTGCAACACATTCATCCCAGTGAAGTCAGTGCGGGGAGCAAAGGAAACAAGTCAGACATCAGGTGGGAAGGGCAATAGAAAGAATATTAGATGGGTCAGAGAAAATATATATAGATTAAAAGGTGATTCACTGCTGGGTTAGAACCAAGAGATACCGTGTGATGGGAGGTGGAATGCAGCTTTCTACTCAGTTGTTGGTTCTGCGTGTTTTTTTTTCTGTTGAGCATGCAAAGAGTAGCATCGAAAGGAAGCTGGAGTTATTTTACAGTGTCTTACAAGCAGAGGTGTGGGAGGAGGTTGTGGAGGTTCAGTGAGGAACTACATGATTCCTTTCCCTTGTGCACAAACAAACTGTATGTCATTATATAAAAGACATGGTTCGGCACAGGAGGAACAAAACTAACAAGAAAACCATCTGGCATGGAAGCCTGGAAGATCATTTTGGTGTGGGAAATATATTTACACATGGCCTTGATTTTCAATAACATTTGACAAGATGTTTGAGGTCGAAAAATCACATTTTGATCAAGTTTTATCTCCAGGACTGACCAGGTATTTATAAACAGGACAGGTGTGATGGGTTCCACTTCAAATATTTCCTTTTTTTTGTCATTACATATAATTGCTACTCAAGTAACTCTCATTGTGTTTGATTTACAAATCTTGGTGTTGCTACCTTTTCCTAAGAACACTGGTTAAAAGGGTTGTCTTATAACCGCTGGCACAAGACTGTTTTTGGCTCCTTTTTGTTTAAATACAAACAAAGTGAATCCTGAAGCTGCCCTAAAGTGCCAAGGCACACGCTGAGACAAACATCTGTGTCTGAACATTAATACATACTCAGTAATGTACCTTGTGTTGCTTAAGCTATCTACTGCTACTACTCAATAACTACCACTAACACACTTCTGTAATCCCTTCAGTCAGCGAAACACTTCCGATTCCCCCTTAGCAACACAGTAGGCACAAAAAGGTGTGTGTCCTCACGCACTTGACATGATTGATTGTATAAAAGGAGTAATCCTTTTTGATTTAGCATTTAAAACTAATGTGAGTGACACAAAACCATACATCCACCATCACAAAGAAGAGGGTAAGAGTCTCAAGCATTGCTAAGCATCAAAATAAATATCTCAATAAATACAACTGTACACAAATATTGGCTTTATGCATTCGGATATAGCATAAAGTAAACATCATACCCTGCCTGCAATCTCTGAGTGCAGAGGAGATAACTGGGTCAGCCCCAGGGCAATATTTCATTAAGTAGTGATCATTTTGACTGATCTTCCATCAGTATATTCCAAGTGCATTAATACTGGGGATAAATAAGTTACATTACATTGTGGTGCAGGATGCATGAAGATGAATAAACAGGAAACTGATTTATTTATGTGCCCACCGGCCAAATAACTATTAGTTTACATATTATATTATGCCTGCATGTAAACCATTCATTCATTTTGCAGCTATACTATTTTTTTCTACAACATAATAATATATATGAAACGAGGACCCTGACTTGTCAACATGGCTTGTCTAATAAGTTCTTAAAGAAGCACCGATTTTACACATGAGGCTCAGTTTAGTCGTCGTAAGAAGTACTCTTCAGCCGGTGAATGTCAGATTGGGTTTGAGGCTTTTCAACAGTAAGCCTTACAAACTGGGCACTTATGCTTTTAAGTTACATTATGGGATATGTAGGAGCTATAATGGAGTTTAAAAGTCTCAGATTCTGTCCCACAGATTCTTTAGCATTCTTCTTAAATCAAAATGGAAAAGGAAGTGCATTACTAAATCACTCCTATAAAACTGGGCACATAAATCAATGAGAAACCCGGTGTGCAAATAGAAGGAGTGAAGAGAACAGCGGGAAACAGCGAGACAAGGTTCAGACTGACAGCGTAAAAAGGGGAAATTAATACAGGAAGACTCAGGCTTTAATCCTGACCAAACTATCAAGATACAGGAGTCCTCCCCTCCTCTGCTGCGGCAGCACCCCCCCCCCCGCTGGGGAACTATCTGGCCAGCTTGCTCGAGCACTTGCCGTCTCGGCTGCAGCTCTTTCCCCTGGACAGGTGGAAGGGGCCCGTGCGCGCCTGCCGGCTGCAGCAGGTCTCCTGGTGGTGAGGGTAGAAGCGGCGGGGAGGTGGCGAGCCGGAGAAGCTGGGAGGTGAGCGGCTGCGGCCCAGGCAACCCCCTCCCCCGCCCCCCCGATGCTCGTGGCGGGAGGGCGAGGAGCTGACGGAGCGCTGCAGGGAGGAGGAGCTGCGCGGGGAGGCGCTGGAGCTGCGGTGGTGGTGGGGGGGGGAGCTCGTCAGGCTGCAGACGCCCATCCTAGAGCCCCCGTACTGGGCTGAGGAGCGGTGGTGGAGGGGGGAGCCCCGGGAGCCGTGCATCAGCTGAGCGAGGCACGACAGCAGGTCTGAGTCACTGTTGCTGCCGGCTCGGATGCGGTAACGCCTGAGCCTAAGTGGATACAAAAAAAGAAGCAGGGCAGATTATGAATCAGAGCCAAGTCATATCATAGCAAACCAGGAAACAGGGTGGTACATCAAACTGAGCCAGTGGGTTGTACATTTATTTAAAAACGGCAACTACTATGCACATTTTGTTAGTAGTATAATGGTCTATTTTAGTGTATACTAACTGTTTCTGTAAATGCATATTGGGTGTGTATTTTTTATTTTATTTCATTTTTAACTCATTTGCAAAGTCTTGTTTATGTTCAAATTGGGCTTAATAATGTAATTCTATTCTAATCTTATCCAATTAGCTTAGCAAAACATAACGTCTTTGTTGTTCATCATAGTTGTTGTTGAGAACAATAATGGCCTATTTATTTATAAAAATCAACCAATTACCTGCCCTCCGCTGTGGGGCGGCCCGGTGGTTTTCCAGGGGGCGGGCGTGGCAGGTATTGGGCGGCCAGCTGCTCAGCAGAAGATACCGGATGAACGGGACGTGGGATCCTGCTCTTGCGGGACAGAGGGCTGGAGGAGGAGGAGAGGGAGGGGCCGTCGTCTCCCTGCCGGTCTGAGCGGGAGCCCATGAGAGAGTCCTCGTCCTGAGAGCGGTCAGAGGTGGAGGACAGCGGGTCCCTAGCGAGGGACGCCACCATGGGACCACGCCTATCAGAGAGGGAGGGGGAAGCAGTGGGAGAGGGGGCCGATCCGTGGTGGTTGGCTTTCTTCTGTAGGAGTTTCTCCTTGGCAGACCCCGCAGGAGGGAGATCCAACAGGCTGGAGGGCTCCAGGACTGGGATGCGACTGTGCCTCCGGCTGGGGGCCTTACGGGGAGCAGCCGCGGAGGAGGAGGGTGGTCCATCGGTGTGATCGTGGTTCACCTCTCTGCTCGCCTCCCCCCTCAGCTGAGGCTCTGTGGCACAGGGAGTCAGGCCAGAATCATTCTCAGGGTCCTTCAGCTTGGGGAACGCCCCGTTACTTAAATCCCTTTGGCTGTTAACAGTAGGGGAGAGGTGGCCATTGGCAAACAAGGGGCTTCGAGGAGAGTGAGGGGAGTGAGGGGAGTGAGGGGAGTGAGGGGAGCGAGGAGAGTGAGGGGAGCGAGGAGAGTGAGGGGAGCGAGGAGAGCGAGGAGAGGAAGGCAAGCACAGAGGAGGCGAGTGTGGGGAACGTAGGGAACGAGGGGAAGACAAACGGTTTGGCGGAGGGCCCTGAGTTTTAGGAAACATGTCTCCATTGACCATTATCTCAGCCAGGGGGTCTGTAGGAGTCCCGGGATTGGTGGGCACATGGTCCTGGGGGGAGCTGATGTCCGCTGTGCGCTCCTGCACCTGCTGAGCCTCGGCTTCAGCCTCACTCCGCCTCTCCAGCAGGAGGCACTGTGGAGCACTGTCTGATCCCGACTGGGAGGAGAGCCCAGAGGGACGCTGAGCCGTCAACTGGAGGGGAGGGGGGGGGAAGTGGAGACATGGGAGGAAAGAAAAAGAAACACAAGTGTTATTTTATATCAACCATACTAAAATGGGAAAAATATTCTAGTTGTCAAAGGCATGTTGCTGATAGACTACAACATGTCGAGTTGTGCTGTAGTTCTGTAGCAAGAGCCTGATGCAGATGTGTGAAAAGAGAAGAATTTTATAATATGGGGTAACAAATGGTGATTAGTTTGGCAACAGCATGCAATACCATAGCTACCAGACCGAAACACACAAGTGCTATGGCAGTGTCAGTCAAGCTGTGAGTACTAAACCAGCAAGTAGAACAGGAAACGTTCACGCAACTTCGCAGGGGGCTTCAGCGAAGAGAGGGTGAGGAACAAATACAGGGAGAGAGAGAGAAAGAGAAAGATAGAGAGGACAAAGACGATCTGAAACAAAAGAGACCATGCGACCTGTAGTCATGACTCGACATTCCAAACACACATGCCACAATCAGACAAACACACACCCCCTATTCAGATCACAAGGACACATGTCCAGACACAAGGACACATCTGACCCATGCTCTGTCTGGCCTGCACAATGCCCCTCATGGTTTCTGGAGAGAGCTGCCGGACAACACAATAAGCAAGCCGACTGAACAAAGAAGCCAAAATAAAGCAACTTAAACGAAAAAAACAAATAGAAAAAGAAAGAAAGAACGAAAATGTTGACAGCCGGTGTGTTGGTAATGACGTAGAGGAAGCTGAATGAAGTTTTTTTCGTAGTGATGGGCTCATCACCTGCTGCAGCTGGGCACGAGTGATGCGTATGACGGAGGGAAACTTGGCGTTGGCAGCGCCCGCCGGGATGGCTGGTAGTTTCCTGCGAGCGGGTGAGCGGGTGCCGGGGGCGGGGTACTGTGGGAGGGAGGCGTGGCAAGAGGAGGAGGCGCGCTCCTGCTGCTGCGGGTCGACGGACATGCTGCGCCTCAGGGAGGGAGGGTGGCGCAGGTGCAACGGGTCCGACAGGGTGGTCAGGAGTGTGTGAGGGCTGGGAGAGCGCAGAGGGATGGGGCTGGAGGTCCGGAAAGCGACTTCCTCAGGCAGGGACGGAGGAGAGGTGGGGAACTAAGAGAGGGGAAGGAGAGAGGAGGGGTTGTGAGACTGGTGAGGGAGGGAGGAGATGGCGGGAGTTACCGTGGGGAGCAGGAGGATGAGTTGTTCTCAAGCGATAAAGCGACGGGAGGATTATCAAGATAGGAGGAGGATCTTAGGCTAGGGGAGGAAGACAGAGGCGAAGTATTTGGGGCAGATTGTGGACATTATGAACATGGAGGAAGTTGTTCTGGTTGTAGAAGAGAGAGTGAGGGGACAGTTATTCCTCCTGGCGTTTAAAAAGTTGCTCAACAATTGTAAAGTGTTTTAACTTTTAGATTTCGGAGGGCTGGCTGAAAGTTATACAAAAGTAAAAGAGCAAAAAAGTAATTTAAAATCAGCATAACCAAAGCATATATAATAAGCAAATTATTGAATTTGGGAAGTAAATAAAAACCAATCAAATATATTGGAAAATGTCTGCAAAATAGGATAAATGTAAGCATATTTATTGCAAATCAAAGTGCATTTCAATAAGCTTTCTTTCCCCCATGCTGTGATCTGATAAGCTCTGCAGTTGTGACACATATATATTTGTCTAACACATAAACAAAGGCGAATAAGCGAGAAAACATAAAGCAGTAACATTTAGCTTGAAACTACAGCAAGATGCAGCTGGTGGGACTCTGACTGCTGTATGATATAAGCATTTGGTTCTGTAGAGCTTTTTAACTTTGTAAAATGCAGTCAGTAACATGTTGGCCATGTTGTGAGAAGGCCTTCAAATGAAAGTGCTTACCTGAGTGAGAACTCCTTCAGCCAGAGCTTCACCCGGGCTGGTAGGAGTAACGGGAGGCAGACTCCCGATGGGGCCCACGCTAAGCTCCAACTTGTCCACTTTTGTACTTCCCTTGGAGGAAGCCGTGCTTTCTCGTCTAGCTTTGCCAGAGAGAGGGCTGGGACTGCACTTTTCCCAGCCAGGAGACTGATCGCCCCGCTGGAGCAGCTCTGGCTCCTCATCCTCCTCTGAGGTGGCGGTCTTGGCTCCTGGAGAGCCGCCGGGCCTCTCCACCATTACCCACTCCCTGGAGTCAATGTCCTGCCTCCCAGAGCTCAGGTTCAGGGCCACAAAGCCCCCGCTGATGGCCGCCCCCTCTCCCTGCTCCAGGGATCCACAGGATGCTGGTTTAGGAGACCCACCACCCAACCGGAACTCCTCGTCGTAGTGCCAGACCCTGTCGTGGCGCTCCCCGGCGGGTACAGCCTGAGTGACAGGGATGATCGCTGCTCCGTTAGCCGCCATCTCCTGCTGCTGGGGGCCGAGCTGCTGCCTCCCTGAGCTGAACACACAACACAGATTCAAACCATCCACTTAGTGCTCTGTCCTCCGGAACATTTAGCAGAAAAGGATGTCAACATAGATGTATCTGCCTCCAGTCTCATATTGCATAGAGCACAGATAGTGTACAACCACACACACACCTTTTCCTTGGTGTGCAAGTTCTTTCATTGTGAGTAAAGAAGACAAAAAAGCTTGCATATATGTAACATCTGATAGTTCAAACTAAGCCATGGAGGAAGTTACATTAAGTTTGTTGCACCTGTATTCTTCTTAGAAAGTGAAACATGTGAGATAAGGTGAGATGTATCGCACTTTATTTCTAATCAAATTGTATCTGTCCAGATACCTGAAGCACTATTATTGGGGTATTTGTGTGAATGAGAGTGATAGAAGAATGATGATTTTTTTGTCAGTTTTCCACGAAAGAAAAGTTACAAAATGCTTGTGCGTGCTGTCAATTAGAGTTATTGGATACATGTGCATGTCAGACAATTAAAAAAATCTGAATTGGCCAACAAAATTGCAAGCATTGAATCGAAGGTTACTTGATAGACATACCAGGTCTCCAGGAAGCGCTCTGGACTGGGTTTGGCTTCTAGGCTGAGCCTCCTCTCTATATCCAGACTGTGAATGTTGCGGATCTTCCTCAGCAAGGGGCCATCGCGGTCTGAAGCCCCCAGCTCAGAGTGCAGTTTGACTGGAGAACCGAGACTCGGCCCAGCGTAGGGGTTCTGGTTTGCGTGGTTGCCCTGGTTGTTGCTATGTTCCTCCTCCGTTGCCGCCTATGGAAAATAAGTCCGTTTTTTTAGCAAAGGATTACAAAAATGGTGGATTGCTATTCGTATAACTGGAGATACATTATCTGAGAGGGGATACAACTATATTCTACCTTCCAGACCGCCGTCCTGATGCGGTTACGGTTGCGGTCCAGCTCCTCCCACACATCCGCCTCCTGGTTGCGGTGGGGGTGGAGGGGGGATCCCGGCAGGCGGTCCGGGGCTGGGTTGTTCTCCGCGTCGCTGAGCTGCTCGTCCTGCAGAACCTCGTCTGTGTTTTCCCTCATCAGGTCGCCAGGGATCAGGGAGGCATTCGCCATACTGCGGGACAAAGATACACACATTATTTTATGTATAAAGCTATTTTTCATTTCTAATAATAATAAGCTTTATTTGAATAGCAATTTTCATGCATCAGGTACAGCTCAAAGTGCTTTAACAAGGCACACGTCACAATTTAAACACAACCAGAGATTTAAATGCACCAAAAAACTAAACAAAACAAAAAACACGATACAACAGTTTATCAGAGGCCTGTACGACGAAGCCGGTTCAACATAACCTGGATATGTTTGACTTATCCGACTTGCCTAATCCAAAACAAACGCGCTCTCGCTAAGCGGTCCTACGACGCTGGTTATCAACTCGTTAACTCAAGCCAGTTTTGCCCTATCTAGTTATGTGCGCGTTCACATAAAAGGGGCGTGGTTAGCAACATTTGAACAATCACAAACATGGAGAAGCGCACTGACAGCGCAGCGTCATACTTCCTGAATGAAAAGTGAACTATAATATTAGACAAATCTGAAGACGTTAAACTTTAAACATCCATGACTTAAACACTTTATCCAGGATAAAAGCCACATAGCTGCACCTGCAAGGTGAATACAGCTGGTAAAAGAAAGTGTTTGAATGCGTACATTAACAGGTTTATGATATCACTGCCTAAGACACGAGTGGATCTGAAGTTAGCTCACTAAGCGAAAATCCGGCTTCGTAGTACAGGCCTCTGGACGTGGTTCAGAGGCTAGAGTATAATACATGAACTCTCTCCAATTCTAGTTTTGTTAGAAATGTATATTGTAAATTATTTTTTATTGTGTCTAGGCCAATATTCTGTCCCATTTCACAAATCGCTGATTATGTCTTACAATTGTAAGAATTGGATTAAATAGCTATAAAGGGAATTGTGGATTTTCAACCACCTATTGTTACAGTATTTATTATAAATAGCACTGGAATTAGCTCTACTAAAAAATGTTTTAATTCAATCAAACATACCCCATGTGTGCCGGAGTGAGGCGTGTGTGATGTTGCGGTGTTGTGGCACTAGCACTGATTGTAAAAGTGCCATCAGTGCCGGTCCGCTCCCAGTCATAAGGGTCATTCTCCACAACATTGTAGGTTTTCATGCTGTTGTCAAACACTGACATCAGCAGCTGTAACCACACAAAATACAAAACATTTGTATTTTATTCAGCAAGAGTCTACAGAAAAAGAACAAACACTTGTGGTTCTTAAAAACAGGAAGATACCACATTGACTTGAGGAGATATTTCTAAATCATGCACTGCACACTTTACTAAAAATATGTAGCTATAGCATCATTTAGCAAAACCAAAATGTCATCACCTGGTAGTCTGGCTTTGTGAAGTAGTCGAGTGTGGCGATGTGTTCCAAGAAAACACCAAACTCTGCCGGCAGGTGTTTGAGCATGAGACGATGGTCGTAAGTATCCTTCAGCTTCCCCACATGTTCCTGGGAATACACACACACACACACACACACACACACACACACACACACCTGTCACATCTCATCACTTACAGCTACCTGGACAGGGCTGTTTAGTTTCCATGAAGGACAGGCAGCGATTATTGGCTCTGCTTACTTTGTCCTTGATCTTCCTCCATGGCAGCTGCCCGACCAGAAACTCCACCAGCATGTAGAAGAGAGACCACAGATCATCGTGACGACCCATCTCCTGCAGAACCACATCAAGGTTGAGTTCACAGTAATCAATTATATTGGATCATCGTCAGATCAGGACAGAAAAGAGAAAGTTGTGTAATGCATGTGAATAAATGGATAATAGTTACGGACCTTATTCTTGTGTGCATTGACGGATGCATATCGGACAGTTCCCCTGAACCCTGCCACTGGACGAGGCTGATGAACAAAGACAGGAACAGACATTAAATACAAACATTTTACTATTTAAAAATTCAGCAAAAGAAATGTTGTCAAAAATAAGTCAAAACTATTTAAAGAAACAAGTTGTATGTCCACCTATCTTTTATCTAACCTCTGACCCCCAAATATTATTATATCACATTAAACATTTCCTTTTTCTGCATTTGTGTTATCACATCACATTATGAGAAGGAGTGACTTGAAATTCTCTGAGGTTATGTGACTACAGGGGACATGTTGCATTACACATAATAATTTAATTCATTGTTATTTTTAGAAAGTCACTGACTTAAAGGTGGGGTAGGTAAGAATGGAGAAACCAGCTCGAGTGCGCTAGAATTTGAAAATACACAACCGGGAAAAATCTGCCACTTCCTTACAGAGCCCCTCCTCCAACACACACGAACGCGCACATGACCAATGAGGACACGAGATAAGTTTGTGCACAGATGGAAGGCTGACAGGCAGGTAGGCCATCCAGTTACTTTAGCCGGGCCGGCTCAGATGATTGGTCGTGCTTTTTACAGCGCCACCGCTTCCACAGATGACATATATTTATGGATTTTTTGTCAAAGCACTTCAGATATTCATTGCTATCGGGATGTTAAGAGCATTCCATGGAATATAACAAAACGTGTATCTCGAGCCGGTTTCTCAAACTTACCTACCCCACCTTTAAATCATCTGTTAAATAACTAAAAAAAGATACATTGGGGCCTTTGACATCAGAGGAGGTTCATACTGTACCAGTCGCAAAGATTAGAAGACCTTGGGATGTCTCAATTTCGTGATATATGCTACTTGGAAACCGGTTCTGACTGGATTTTGTGTTAGGAGGGCAGGGTTAAGAAGAGCTCTGCACTCCTATTTTTTATACTTCTCCTCATTACAGCTTAGGTATACTAAGAGGGAGAGGAGAGGTTATGCAGCCACTGTTGTGTAGAGGTTTGCTTTCTGGCATCACTACTTTAATATATACATTTCAAATAAGACAACAGAGAATAACCATATCTTTTTTTTTGAAGTGCAGCTTCAAGCTCAGTGTAAAGTCAGTAACAGAGTAGGGCACTTACAGGTCGGACCTCCTGGCAGGAGTTGGTGAACTGACGAGCTAAACCGAAGTCCAGCATGTAGCAGGTCCGACACGTACTCGGGAAGCGGCCCATTGCGAAATTAGACTGAAGCAGAAAAACAGGAGGCAGTTGTTAAACAGAATAATAAAATCACATTATTTGTTCCATTATTTCTGCTTGAATGTTTGGTTTATTGTGTGTTGTTGTTGATGGTAATTGTTTTTGATTATCATCTGCAATGGTTTTGAGATTTAAAACCGTAAAATGTGATTGAAATGATTACTTGAACTATTATGTTGTGAATAAGCCTTAGCTATATACACGTGTAGATCGTTTAATGATTTTGCAACTGTAAAGGTTCCCCCTAAAATAAAAACATGAATACATGTTAATAATGTTCTTGTAGTTTCAGGGGAATAAACATATCTCTATGGCAGTGTTTCTCAAACTTTTTCATACCAAGGACCACTTAACCAATAAAAAAACACTCGCGGACCACCTAACTCCACAAATATCCCAAAACACATCGTTTTTTGCAAATCGCCTTAAAATGGTACAAACAAGTGGCCACATGTGTGATGAAGGTGTTTATCTGGGCTATATCATGCAATTGAAAGTGAAACTTAAGCTCGCTCCATTAGGGAGATATTCCCGCGAGTGCGGAAAACTTGAATTAATTAATTAATTTCAAATGTGAAATGTTACCAATATACTCACGGACCACTAGGGGGCGCTCACGGACCACCAGTGGTCCGCGGACCACACTTTGAGAAGCACTGCTCTATGGTGACATGCTTTAATACAGCAGTAATTGTTGGGCATTAAGCCAACGCTTTCATTGAGCCAGCTTACTGTAAGAGCAACAAAGAAACTGAGTCAGCAAAAATACTGGCAGCCAATAAATAATCTGACAGCAGAAATAAAGATATTCTCATGTGTACTGAAATGAGAGCCGAGCATTAAATATGCCTCGCTGCTCCGAGCTCACGGTGACTCACCGGTTTGATGTCACGATGCAGGAAGCCCACAGAGTGGATGCTCTCGATGGCCTCCAGGATCTGCCGCCCCAGACGCAGCGTGGTGCTGATGCTGAAGGTTCCCCGAGTCATACTCCTCCTCAGGTCAGCCAGGTTACGACCCTGAGATCAGAACATGGACGAGATCATAAAGTCTCAGGAACTCTGTCAATTATTAAAACATGTCATATATGCTATATATTGCTTTCTATTATTTAATACTTAGACATTTATTTTCTTGCTGTAGTAAATGTATTCTTAGTTATTAAAGTAGTTTCTATGCTTTTATTATGAAGGCAGTTTGGAGCACTGGATGATGTGGGTGTAATTGTGTATATATTGGAGACAGGTGGTGATGTGAATAGAGCACTAATAGACACATGGTTTTTCTACCAGGGTGTTTCAAGCCAGAAGAAAGGAAAGCCATAGGAAAGGCTTAAGGAATGAAATATAAGGAAACCTGTTGAATGTACTTTGTTATTGGAATAAAATGCACAAACGGAGATTCTTGTCTGGACTTGGATCGTTGCCCTGCGTAAGTTTCGCCAACTGGTGCCCTCAGCGGTTATATTCAGTGTTATTTTAAGTTCATTATCAGTTTTATTTCTATATGATTTTGGCCGCTACAGTCATAAAAGACCTAATCGTCTCTATCTACTACTCGTTTGGAAGCAGCACACTGTGACTGGGAAATGAAAATAGAACCTATTGAGTCTTTTACTGGCTGAAATGTTTGACGATGTGACAAACAAGCCAGATGTGCTGAGTGGATAGAAAAACACATACATTCAGCTAACACCAATCATCTATAATTAAACACACGGTGCGGGCGGGAGGTGGTTGTATAAATGATGATGATGTTTTATAGTATGTGAACAGTTTGTAGTCCTGCTGCCTAAATCACCAGCTGGAGAGTAATGCTGCTATAAATATTTTTAGTACAGGATGGGATGGCAAAAGTCAGTTTGTCTTTTGGTCTGTCTACCAATTTAGTCCACATGGAAATATCTGGAAATTGTAAAAAAAATTGTTAAGAAAATGGTATAAAAAAATAAATCACAAAACATATTCCTCCACCTTAAATAAAATAAATAAGAGGTACATTGTAATTTTTGAAACTGGTGATAATAATAATAAATTGGCTATCAAAATGGATAACCAATTGATTCATTGAAATGTTTTCCCTTATATTGGATCACGTTACAGCAGCAGTTTATCCATCTTTTCAGATTTGAACAACGTCATTATTGAACACATACACATTTCTCTAAATTGTAATTCCTGAATCAAAAAGTAATAGGTGATTCATTATAATTATATTCAGCTTACTTAAAAGTTATATTGACTAGACACATTGAATAGACCAGTGTTTCTCAAACTTTTTCATTCCAAGTACCACTTAACCAATAAAAAAACACTCGCGGACCACCTAACTCCACAAATATCAAAAAACACATCGTTTTTCTTGAACAGATTACAAATCGCCTGAAAATGGTACAAACAAGTGGCAACATGTGTGATGAAGGTGTTGCGCTGGGCTATATCATGCAATCTAAACTTAACCTCGCTCCATTGCGGAGATATTCCCGCGAGAGTGCGGAAAACTGAAATGTATTTATTTATTTCAAATGTGAAATGTTATCAATATACTCACGGACCACTAGGGGGCGCTCACGGACCAGTGGACCACACTTTGAGAAGCACTGGAATAGACTAATACATTATTGACAAGGAAGCCAATCACTGCACTAAAAAATGCCACAAACACATGTTACTGATTGGCTTCCAACGATTCCCCCATCAACTGGAAGAGCCTGAGTGAATATTTTATCAAGACTTTCACTGGAATTGTCAATAATTTATTGGTCAATCGATTAATCGCATCAGCATAATTCTAATGTCTAAATGCAGTTAAGAGTGAGGCATTAAGTCCCCTGCATTTATACCAACCTGAAGCTCCATGACGACGTAGTTGAAGCGGTCGTTGCGACCACATCCCACAAAGCGACACACGTGGTCTTTACCTAGGGGAAATAAAGGAAGAGTCTCAAGATTACTTTTGGAGGAGAAGGAGAGGTGACTTTTACAGCATCATTTGATGGTAAGATGCGTCGCTCTGTGTGAATCATGATGATGTTCATATTTCTCTGCCCTCTACAGCTCACTGCCCTTCCATCACCAGCGGCCCTGTGCTGTACGACTCCCTGCTGATTTATCGGCTATGGCACACAACGCCGGGTCCATACATGAATGCATAGTGTGTTTGTGGATATGTGTGTGTGGGAGCAAATGTGTGTGTGTGTGTCTGAAAGGACATTGCTGCAATAGAAGCTAGACAGCAGCCACACCCCAAACCCTTACGCTTGAAGGGAATGCAAACAGCTACTAACCAAACCCCCAAGGTAAAACAAATACATTTATTCCAGTTTATCTTCCTATAAGGTCAATGTTTACTGTGTACATTTGGGTGGGTCAGCAATGTTTCTATGAAGGGGGAGTTGGAGTTAAGCCTGTCTCAAGTTACATGTTGGTTCCCCAAGGAAGCACCCAACACATGATGCCTGAGGCCGCAGCCATTAGAGAGCAAACATGATCCCAGCCCATTGATTTCCTCTCAGAGGAGAGAGAGAAACGAAAAGGGCACATTGGTCAAAAGGCAGGAAGGAAGAGGGGAGGGGGGAAAGACACAGTTAAAAACAGATAGAGGAGTAAAACTATGCAACCCCCCCCGAAGAAGCTCTCTTTTGTTGATCCTGTGTCTCTGCTGTGAGACGATGGGAGTGTCCAGGAGTACAAACTTAAACCTCCTCTATCACTGGCATCTTGAACTTTTACATGAATCTCCTGACTCTTAAACCACAAGTAAAATGTGAAATTAAGAGAGAATGAATGATCTCTTAGATGACGGTGTGTTATGCAGCGCAGAGACTAAATCAAAGTGAGCTGAGCCCTGGGTCAAATTGTAATTTCAGATGAGTCAGATGATATCTGGTCTCAGGGGAAGAGATTACAGGCAAACCCTTGCATTTCACAAGCATGACACTTCCTGGATTAGTCTGCCTTTTACTCATTTCTCCCTGCTTATGTGTTGCATCAATCTCGGACAAATAATTGAGCGAAAATGTTTCTCTTCTTTTAAGCCTTTGTTCTTCTGCCACAACTCAGTGTCCTGTCTTCCGTAGGTCGTCGGGCCAGGGAGGATCAATCGATTTCAGAAATGTAACCAAATCCAGTGAATCCATTTCGACTCACCCTGGAGCTTCTTCAGTACGGCGACCTCCATCTTGAGCACCTGTTTGGGCTGCTGGGCCGACTCAACCTTCAGCGCCACGCTGACCCGCGTCAGGAGGTCCACCGCCTCGTAGATCTCCCCGAACCCGCCTCCCCCGATCTTCTTCGCCTAGAGGGAGATGATCAGACTTGACATCAGAGGAAATACCACACAGTCTGCGTAACTGGACAGCAAGGTGTACTTTTATAAAAGTGGAAACATAATGTGCCCTATCTTAGGAAAGTTAGAAGGTCAAAGTCAGTTACAGAACATCCTCCATGAGGTCTGTGGAGTTTTGCTCGATTATACTTCACAGTGGAGATTGCTCATCATGAAAATGCTTTACACTTTTCTCTACTATATTAGATAATAACAGGGCTGCAACAAATGATCAGTTATTAAAAACAAATGTGACAATTGTTTAAACTTTACACAAAACAAATGCATAGTTTAATATATATAAATAATATCTATAAAATGCCAGAAAAACGTGAAAAATCCTCATCACAATTTTCTAAAGAGACATATTTGCATTGTGTGTTAAAATATTCAGTTTAGTATGACAAAACAGGAAATAAATATAAATTAAAATCCTGACACAAAAGATGAATTATCAAATAAATAAATGATCAGAAGTGCTGGACTTCGAATCAGGGGATAGCAAGTTAGAGTCCCACTGCAGTCAGCATGTCGTTGTGTCCCTGGGCGAGACACTTCACCCCAAATTGCTCCTGTGGGGAATGGCACACACACACACACACACACACACACACACACACACACACACACACACACACACACACACACACACACACACACACACACACACACACACACACACACACACACACACACACACACACACACACACACACACACACACACACACACACACACACACACACACACACACACACACACACACACACACACACACACACACACACACACACACACACACACACACACACACACACACACACACACACACACACACACACACACACACACACACACACACACACACACACACACACACACACACACACACACACACACACACACACACACACACACACACACACACAGAGAGAGAGAATCTAACCAACACACACACACACAGTCTAGTGTTTAGCTGCAGCATTCTTATGTAACTCTGTTCATTAGAAGACAGGAAGTGGTGCCAGGCTGCCAGTGAGGACTAGCAGCCTCACATGGCACCCAGGCGGGCAGAGAAGTGAGGGGCCGGGGCCCTCCGGGGGGTACTGCTGCCTATAGCTCACTGCACCACCACAAATAGATATAAAGGCTATTTTTAGATCTCCTGTACTGCAGCAGGCAGGCAGCCCTAAGTGCACACAAAGACTCAACCCCAAAGAGTCCGACCCACAGGTGAGACACTTTAGAGGAAAGCAGGGGAAATCATTGTGTGAGGAACAAAGAGTTGTTGTGTTTTGACAGAGTGTGAGCCAAGCAGTGATGAGGCTGGACAAACACTCTGCCTATTGTCGCGGAATAACACGTCACTTACCACTTTCCATCGTTCCTTGACCAGAGAGAGCACGGTCAGGATGTCAGCTTGCTCCGTTCCCCCGCTCATCCCGTCTGTGGACCTGGGACGCTGTCCTCACTGCTTCCCCCCCCCTCGACCAGTGGCCTCACACTGACACGAGCATTAGTGCCTTGATGGAGAGCCCTTAGGAAGCCAAAGAGAGACACAATGTTAGAAACTGAGGAACAACTCTCAAGGAAATCAATAGAATTATTGTTTTAATCTAACAACCTTTACTGTATGTACTTATGACTTGAACCATAATGTACCAACTTTGAAATCATACTTGACATTATCCATTTCTGGATTTATGCGAGTTTCCTGTATTTACACGGTTACTTACATGTTATGTTATGTCTAACTTCCTTCATTTTACAATTATTTTCTTTGTATTAAGTCTTATGCTCTCCTGTGTTTGACTCTTAACATTTTTGCTGCTATGACACCTGAATTTCACTATGGCAGTGTTTCTCAAACTTGTTCATACCAAGGACCACTTAACCAATAAAAAAAACACTCGCGGACCACCTAACTCCACAAATATCCAAAAACACATCGTTTTTTGTACAAACAAGTGGCAACATGTGTGATGAAGGTGCTTATCTGGGCTATATCATGCAATCGAAAGTGAAACTTAAGCTTGTTCCATTGCGGAGATATTCCCGCGAGAGTGCGAAAAACTTAAATAAATGTATTTATTTCAAATGTGAAATTTTACCAATATACTCATGGACCACACTTTGAGAAGCACTGCACTATGGGGATGATACAGTTTATCTCATCTTATATTAATCTGCAATGCTTCGAGATAATGCTCTTGGGTGCTTCAAAGGGAGATTTATTAGAGTTGAATATGCATAAACAGGGCTCCAGAGTGTGACCAATCTGTCAAGTGCGACCCAACTGAGCGTTTTTATTGGTCGCTTTTGCGGGCCTGACATTTAGCACGTCTGTCTCCATGTGTGTAATGTTCGAACTGGAGCCCTGTACTCCTCCCCATGGGACAACACAGCCTTACAAACATACAGGTAATTCAAAGTGAGGAGAACTTTTGATTGATATTTCATCCATAAAAATGCTTCAGGGTCGTCACACCTGTCCCAGACCTCTGATCACAAAAGAAGCCAAAAAATAAATGGCTTTTTCAGTTACAGTGGCTCAGATATGATGAAACATCCAATATTAGACAGTGCATTTTATTGCTAAGAGTCAGCCAAAAACTGCTTGAAGAATATACGTTCTGATTCAAAACGTTAAAAAAAGCACATGTCATGCTTGTGACCATGACAGGTGTTTGGCTGGTAGACCGGCACCCCCCCCCCCTGCAGCATTTTCAAGGAGCGGCAAACTCAAGCAGTGAGAAGGCCAAAATGATAATACACTCCAACAATGCTTAGAATACACAGTAGATAATATACATAACGATTTGGATGCACATAAATGCAAACGTTTGTCTGCAGTCCTGTCCAATAGGCCTGTTTTTTGGACTGTTTGAACTACATGTGAAAGTTGGAGAATGTCCACATTGGAGAGACAAAGTTAAACCCCGGCTTAATGTCTGCAGCTTTCTGATACTCGACCATGGCAGCAGCTGCCACACCTGCTGCCAGCAGCTGGCCTTCTGAACAAACTCGCAGACAACATTCCTGTGTCTTAAATTACAAAAAGGCTTCATCTGAGTTTCATTTTTCCAAGCAATTTATCTTCTGGGTATGACAGCCATGGAGCACGTCTCATAAGGAGAGTCTAGTCAGATATAATGAGTCTGATAACTAAACTGTATGAAAGTGGCACAAGTTTTCTCATTTATTGAACTGAATAATGTTTCACTAATTTGATTTGTAACAGTTTTACTTTACACGCACCCTCTGAGTGCTGACTACTGACTTTATTAATGGTTCATAAATCACAGTAGCTCAATTGGGTTGCCACATTGGGAAATCCCTCTTCTTATTATTTCTCTTTGATATATTTCATAAAAATTAAAGTTAAACTCTCTCTATGTTCCATCAAGTCTGACGTTATACAAGCTGATCAAGTTGTTAATAAAACACATCACAGATCTGCAGCATTTTCTAGCAGGTTAATGAAACAAAGATCTAAAAAAAAAGCAACCCAGAGAATTTCTTTGCTAACTGGCAACCCAAAGGTTATGGCGTTTAACAGATTTATAAAATATCATTAAATTGTTTCTCAAAAGGCCATTAGTTAAACATCTTTATCAAGGGTGACTTGTTGGAAAGTGGCTCCAATAAATCTACTGGCATGTTGCCCAGGCTTTTTTTTTTTGCATGGCCGTCTGTAAAACAAGGATCAAAAGAAGTTTGTCCTGGAAAAGTTGGGAACACACTCCTTTATTATCACTATTTTTACATCCATGTCTTAGATAAGCATTCCTCAGAAGAGAACACGCTGATAACTTCCTTCAGACGGGCTCCAAATGCTCCGTTTCATCATTCTGCACACGGAATGGCTGTGGATCTACCGTTATGCAACCAGCCTTCAAAACACTATTTGGTTACGAGGCATGATCCCGACATCGAGGAGGCAATCAATCCCATCATGCACCAGGGTGAGGTTGGGTTGATGGAAGAGGGCAAAGCGTGGTTAGACTACATAACAGCGGAACAACAAGCATGAAATGTGACCCAGGGTTGAAAGTCAGGAGTAAGGGTACACTTTAATACAGAGATGACAAGATTAGATGTAACATCAATCTCTTTTTAAGACATGTTATCACTCTAATGGCCTTTGAACTGTATTCTTTTAGTATGCATGTCATAATGTTTGGATTTATTTGAATTACTGTGAACACTGAACGTCCAAGATTTATATTGAGGTTTCTTTCTTTTTTTAATAAAAGGGCTTTTTTATGGTTTAAACAGTTTACAAAAGTCGAGTTCTTACTGTTCCCATTATTCCCTGAGGTACATTAATACATGTGCGTACAGCCAGGTATCTATACACAAATACAGCTATATAAATACATTCATTTAGATATGTTCAAAGATCCACATACAAGTAAATAAATCCTGAACCAAACTTCTACACAAGTCTCTTTCATGCACCAATTGATGTCAATGTCACGCACTAAATCTGCACAGAGAAACACAGTGAGACAAAGAGAACAGAGTAGGAGCCGCCTTGTAAAAACATCTGTGTAATTCTGGATGTTATGTTAATCTGTGGCAACGCAAAAAACACAGAGCATGCCGTCAAAACCACAAAAGAAAGAGAATCCCTGTTAACCACAGAGGGATGAGAGAGACTCACTGTAAACCCTGATTAAATAACCTCTGCTGTGAGGCTAATGTCACAACTTCAAGGTCACTAGTGTGGTCCTTCTTTTATAGGAAGAAAACGTGTTCCTGTTACATCCGAGCTATCGTGCATGAGTCATTTCTGATTCTGTAGGAACAGGATGGTTGGATGAGCAATGCGAGAAATGGCTGACATTCAGCATCTACGGATTGTGAACAAACATTGGACAGAGAAGTAGAAAACATACAAGAAAAGAGGGATGTTTTTGTAGGACTTTGCTACCTGACCTTTACACCATTGCATATGCTTTAAGGTCAAAAGTCTGAATAACTCTTAGCCATCTTGTGCCTCTTTTATCCCTGAAAGACCGGAAAGACGGAAGATACTACCTGCCAGTCGTCTTTTTTGACTACATATGACAAGCCACAGCCCACATGTCTCTAGCTCAAGCTTGTTCACACTTTGCACCAACACACACACACACACACGCACAAACCTGGCCACCTCACGCTGGGAGTAATCTCACACCTCACAGAGAGGCAAGGCTCTGCTCTTCCTCCTCCGCCTCCTACTTGATATCAAACCTCCATGAATGAATACAAAACAACTGAAATCAAACCAATGACTGACGACCGGCTGCTATCGTCTTCTCATCATGAATCACGCTTCCTGACCTCCTGCATCACCATGCCGACGATGGTGCAGTCCTTTTCTCATTTGCTGACTGCAGCTTGTCGTTGCCGCTGCCCTTTGGGTCTGCTGGAAGCTGCACGTTTTTACGGCTTCATAAAGCACCATGAAATGTGCTGCCACCCACAGAGGATTCCTCCTGCTTAAACCTCAGTTAAAACTCAGGTGTTTTATCAGTAAATATTGACAAAAAGCTAAAGACCACAGTTGCAACTTACTGTTGTTTTGATTTAGGATTCATTTGTTAAAGGTCTGGTCTACAAAATGTCAAAAAAAGTGAGTAATGTCCATTCCAGTTTTACAAAATCAAAACTGATGTCTTCTTTTTGTCAGTCCAAAACCCAAATATGAAAAATAACTAAAAATAATAGTCAAATTAGTGACGATTGCGTTACTGTTAATCGACTTAAATTTTTGTTGAGTGAGCTCTGATCCCGGAAGCACGCTATGACTGCATGTGCAACACAACACATGGCTGAAGTGAGTATAACTGCACTGAAAATCTGCTCAATTGGCTGTCTAATCTGTGTGTGGCCTGAGTAGCAGGTCTGGGACACTTGTCTTCCTGCTGCTGGCTGAAATAAGTGTCTGGTCTGAGCCCTGGAGAGGAGCCAGCATGGGGGGGGGGGGCTTCCACACTCGGCCACAGCATGGATAACACTGATCTAGTCTGAAGAAAACTGTGAAAGGATAAGTGTGTTTTTATATGGCGCCACTGAAGCCTTAACTATCAAGGATGCACTCACCTTAAGAGCAGTTTGGGTAATTACTTTCAATGGAGAGTGCTTAAAATGCATTTATGTTAAGAGCCATTTGTGCAACAACAGAAAAGAAAAGAAAAACCTCTGGCAAGTTGGTTTCAATGGAATGTGACCGGTGGAAATCTGCAGCAATGTCCCAATATAATTATCATGCTAGTCTTCCAAAAATTAAACCACCTATCTGCATAAGTGGGAGAAGTTCTCTGATCTAGGAATACTCTGTCACAAGTAAAAGTCCTGCAGTGCATATGTTACACAAGTAAAAGCACAAAAGTATTGGCATTTCAATAAACTTAAAGTACCAAAAGTAATAGTACGCATTATGCAAATGGTCATTTCAGAATAATATATAATATATGTCTTGATTACAATTATGGATGTGTTTATCACAGATGGTAAAGGTGCAGCTAGTTGTAATTACTTTGTATGCTGCAGGGTAGCTTGTGAATTGTACTCCAGGTGTAACTAAAGTCTTATTTAATTGTTGTTTATATTTCACATTATTATTCCAATTGTGCCAAAAGAACTAAAAAGGTAATAAATAATTGTTATTGCACTTAAGTACAATACTTGATTAAATGTACTTAGGTACTTTACACCACTGGCAATTACTTTAAATGGAGAGTGCCTCAAATGTATTAATTTTAAGAGCCATTAGTGCAACAACAAAAAAGAAAAGACAAACCTCTGGTTGCAATGGGATGTGACAGGTAGAAATCTGCAGCAATGTCCCCATATATATGTATCATGGTATAGTCTTCCAAAAATATAACCACTATGTGCCCTCCCTGCGGTGGACTGACTGTTGCATAGCGAGTTGGTTGCCACAGCAGATTTACTCAGGCGCGTCCACGCACATTGGCCGCCACACGCACCCTCATCCCGCCTGGCTGTGTAGGAGGTTATATTATATACTGTGAGCTGCTGACAACATGCAGGATAACAAACATGCCGTTGCACGCGACAACGAATTGAGGTGTTTAGGACAATGGGGCGAAAGCGAGAAAGGGCCAGAGCATATATACAAGCACGGCCTCCTGATTTCTGAATCCTTACCTCGGGTCTTTGCTCCCAATCCTTGATCCAATCCAGCCGGGTGTGGTTACAACAAATCCTCTGCTTTTGGAGGCGGAGGGGACGACATTGAACGGAATACCATCACGAGGGAGCAGTCCATGAAGAAGAGATGGCGGCGGTGGTCGCGTTTGTAGAAAATGTTAGAGAATAATAAGCAGGTTTACAGGGTGGAATATGTCGGAGTGTTGGTCGTCCCTGTTCTCCTTCTGCCTGCTGTCACCTCAGCATCTCTATCGGTCGCTGCGGATCCGTGACGTGACGAGAGTGTGATGGTCATCAGCCTTCCTGCGTGCGCGGCCCCGATTCCATTGCCCCTCGCAACAAGATCGAGCGCGCGACACGGGGTCTTTAAAAGCGCGCTCGCTGTGTCACGGGAGCGCGCTTTAAAAAAAATCACATTTTGTTTGCAGGTTGACCATCTAGTCCAGTATTATTTAATATACATCTATGACTAACATTTAATATACGTCTATGACTAACAAAGTTATAGTTTCTTTAAAGGTCTAATTTTTGACCAGAAAAATGAACTCAATCAAATAAAAAATCCTAAAATGTCCACCTCAATAAAGAAGATTGTAAGAGCCTACATTTAACATTTATGATTGGATAATCATTGTGTTTAGCTTTCATAATTGGAAAATGTGAATCTGTATGTACTTCTAGAAATGTTTGTATATTTATCTAAATATCTTGTCTGTCTCATAAGAGCAACCTTATAATAGTTGTTGGAGCTACTCAATATTGACATCAAATTAAAACAGAAAAATAAATCTGTGTTTTAATAAAAAACGTCTTAATTATCTGTTAATTTATAAAGGTTAAAAAAAACTAAAAAAACCACCACTAGAAGGCGACATTAACTCATATATGTATCTGACAAAGCTCTGACAACATTTCATCCAGTTTATTTTATTTTCCAATACAATTAAAAATAATTCCTTTCCTTATTGATGTTTTTGCACTTACAGCAGACGTCATTTAACACAGCTGTTTTAATAGATACAACTATTTAACCATTTGTATATAGGTTTTCAAACCTGGTTCAGCTTTGTTTTGCAAAGTTTACAAACTAGTAACATGTAACCAATCTCACCACTTTCCATTAGCATCAATATATTGACATTACAGGAAATTGATTTGAACCCCTCCCAAAGGTTGGATTATATTATCATTCCCATAACTCCTCGAAATTGCAATTGCAGGAAGAAACAAGGGGGAGGAAAACATTATTACTCACATGAGGGTATAGTGATACAGATCTCAAGCACTCATTATATGAAATTATACTGGTAAATGCACCCACTGTTGCAAAGCAGAAACAGTCAAACACATACTGCTCCAGAGACTATCACCTCTCAAAAGAAATCATATAGTCAATAGGGAAAGCCTGCATAACCTTTCATTGTGAGGTCTCCAAGGCAGGCCGCACATATTGTGACATTATTTCGTTTTTAAAATAAACACATTTAGTTGTTATCGACCTTCAACTAAGTACATATACTGTACTGTACTTATGTAGTATTTTGAGGTACTTTACTGGAGTATGTCCATGTTATGTTACTTACTGTATACTTCTACTCCCCTACACTGCATAATAAGTACTTTTACTTTTGTTACTTTAAGTATATTTAGATGCCAATACTTTTGAACTTTTACTTGAGTAACATTTGCAATGCAGGACTTTTGTATCAGAGTATTCCTACACTTTCTACTTTTAGTTAAGTACAAGACCTGAACACTTCTCCCACCACTGCTCCTGGGGAAACAAAGGCAGCAAATAGTGGGACATTATTCAGTTTTTAAAAGTATAGTTGATGAAATGTAAAGTTTGTATTCCTGCATAGTGTTTTGTTGTATTTATAGCAGGGGTGTCCAAACTACATTTTGAATCGGCCCTCAGCGAATTAAAAAAGTAGGCCTACAATGGAATATGGCCCACAAATGAAACTTGTGATTGTCTTATATTGTACTTCTTAACTATAAATGTAAATATATATTACCCAGTAGTATTCATGTGTTAATAAGACCACTTTTCCAATAAATTCAGTCAATTAAAGTTGGAAACATTTTCTAACATATAAGAAAAAAAGCCCAATGACTTATTTACATAACAAGCTTGAAATACACCCTTCCTATTTCTCCTTATTATAATCAATCTGAGGCTTCTGTTTTAATGGACGAGCTGCCAACACTCACATGCATAATTTACCTACATTTGATTGATTTTGCTAATTTATAACTGAACTTATGAGTGGCCCAGCCCTTCGTATATTTTTCTGTATGTGGCCCTCGGTGAAAAAAGTTTGGACACCTCTGATTTATAGTCTATGGTTTTGTTGTACGCTCAACACCAGTTGGTGGCGTTATAGCACTTTCAGACTGATTTGCCAACTGTTAATAAACACCAAAGAAGAAAAAACCGGTTGGTTACGGTTCCCAGAAAACGTTGTCAGAGTGGGAGCTCTATATCCTCATTTTTCTCTCAGAGTGGGTGCTCTTCCTGCCAACATTCAGTTGGTGACGTTTTCACATCCACGGGTCTGTCTGTCGGCAGCTGGTAGGCAGCTAGCAGTCAGCTAACCCGCTTCCTCCTCCTCCTCCTCCTCCTCCTCCTCCTCCAGCTGAGCGGAGAGCCGTGGATAAACCCCCCCGCACCTCCATGCATCTCCCGGGGCCGCGATGGCAGCGACAGAGACGGTCTGACATCGTAGCTATGTAGCTAAATGCCTCACAGTATCCGTAGTTAATGTTAGCCTGGTGATTCGTGTAGCTGTTTCCCACCAGTAGCTAGCTGTATTTCTGCCCGGGACAGACGGCCTCTCTCCAGGAGGATGCTGAAGCTGTTCGCCGCGCTGGTGGTTCTCGGGCTGGCCATGGCGTGCATCACCTCCTGGATGCTGGACAGCTACGACACGGCATGGCACCCGAAGCGGAGCATCCAGCACCCGACTGCCGGGGATGGAGAGGAACATCCCGGGAGCTCTCCACCATTTCCCGACGGCGAGTTGAGCAATATTTTCTGGTTTATACAGGTGGGATTTATTCTGTGTCTCGCTAACGAGCTTTATTTAGTCGTTGGTCATTTACCATACAATGAATTAAAGCCTCCCAATTCAGCCATATATCTGTTCCGTGATGTAAAGTAACTAAGTACGTGTACTCAAGTACTTTACTTAACAATGTTCAGAGACTTGTACTTGACTTGCTACTTTGTACTTCTACTCCAATACAGTTGAGAGTTTAATCATATTTGTACTTCACTACATTTATTTATTATTTACTTTGCAGATTTGGATTAATGGTATGAAATATAATCAACCCTTCAAATAAGACCTTAGTTACACCAAGAGTACATTTCCAAAGCTATCCTGCAGTACACAAAATCATTAAAAGTAGCACCTTTTATGTGCTTTGATAAACCCCTTAATGCTTCAATAATTTCCAAACCTATGATGTGTATTATTTTTGAACTGGGCCAATCTGCATACTTTTACTTGAGTAACATTTTGAATACAGGACATTAAGTTGTAACTGGTACTTCTTCTTTTAGTGAAGTACATGATCTGAGAACTTCTTCAACCTGTTGGTCATTTACCATAAATGGAGTTAAATCCCCTTACAATTCAACCATATCTCCTGTTTTTAATATTATAGTCTTACTTGTCTAACACCTGGCTTCCTTTGGCTCAGCAGTGTTGTCATAGGAAGCTAGCTGTGGTAGGTCACACTCTGAACCCTCTCTGAATGATTGACAGAAAGAGGTCACTGACCACAGAAGTGTGTCTTTGTCAGGTTAAAAATGTGCTTCAGCAACACAGTAAGTTGTAGTCAAATGTCACCTTTTGTGTTTTACTTGAGTTAAAAATAGCAATCATACAGGGGTACAAAAATATCCAAGTAACAGTCATTCAATATCTTTAATAACTAAAAGAACAATTGTTACATTGCCCATTGGTACATTTTCAATGTGTTCATTATGTAAAGTGGCCCATTTGTGAATTTGTCTGTCAATTAGTAGAAGGGCTACAACAACTACATATTTATATAATTGGTAAATCTGCAGCGTATTTTTTTAAATTAATTGATCAATCCTTATTTTTTCTTTAACATTTCGGAAAATGAAATAGACTTTAAGAATGTCCATCCCTGTTAGTTAAGTCCAAGGTGTTGTCTTTTAATGTCTTGTTTTGTCAGTCACAAAGCAAAAGATTCAGTTTCAGCTTAATATCAAATAACATACAGATTCTCATTATATTGTCGTGTTTTTTGTCTGGTTCAAGGTTTCCGACATTCACATAAGCAGATTTCACGACCCAAGACGCATTCCTGACTTTGAAAAGTTCTGCACTGAAACAATTGAAGTGATCAAGCCTGATCTAGTGCTCGCAACAGGTACAGTAATCACTCCATTTTAAACGATGCTAGTTTGAGACTATAGAGTGCCACAGTGACGCGTCCTAAAACCCGGAAGTAAACTCCTTCCGGTTCCTTAGACAAAAAAGTAATGCAATTTCTCCATAGGATTTTGGAAAATAGCTGGAAATAAGGTCTGTGGTTGACACACATTTAAGAGATGGATCACGTTTTGTTCAGCCGGAGAACGTCCACATGACATGTCTACTTTTATAATTTTCGAATCATAAATCTAGTCGCCAGGAGCAAAATGCTAACGTTATGCTATAAAGGAACTACAGCAGGGTCGCTGCTTCAACGTCACGCCAACTTAAGATCCATATTCAAACATACAGATTCTAAATGGTAAAAGTTGAAGTGTTTGTTTGAACAGTTAGCAGGAGGCAGGTACTTGCTTTCAAGCAGAACACGGGGGCAAACAAATTTAGCGGGAGTTAGGGCTGCACGGTATTGAAAAAAACTGACATCGCGATTCCCCCCCCCCCCCCTGCGGTATTTATTGCGGTTTTTTTTAACCTGTTAAGCCCCAAAGTCCCAGCGGGTACTTTAAAAAAATGTTTCACGACAGTGTCTCAGGGAATCGTAATATTTAAGAACCTATTAATGTGTTATACCAGATTAACGGAAATAATCTCAGCTAACTGACAATACAAACCATTTTTACCAAAACAAAACACAAGTCTCATAAGAAGCATCTAAATGACCCCTGAGGGGAAAATGCTAACGCACTTTGGCACAGAACTCAAGATAAAAGTACCCTTATTATTACTTATCGTAGCTGCACTTACAAGATATCCGATTAAAGCTGAGGTTCCACAGATTATTTAGGTATATAATATCATCACTGAGTGATCTGAACTCGGACAGGGGAAGCAAACACAGACATCACAACACGTACCTTTACGTAGCTTCTAGGGGAGATGTCTCACCGTAGCTGTCAATCTGATCAAAAGACGTGTTCAATGGCATTAAAACGAGAAAGAAAAAACGCGGCTGAATCGGTTAATCCATAGGTTTTTAACGTCTCTGTATAAAAAAATTATTTAATTTATAATCCATAATTCCATTTTTATGTAAATATCGCAGAGCAAAAGTTAGCTGCTAATGGTACACACACCAACACATGAACAAATAAGGAGTGAGAGTGACGCGTAGCCAAAACCGGAAGCTGGCTACCATTAGCAGCTAACTTTTGTGCTCCGATTTTTACATAAAAATGGAATTATGGATTATAAACAGGGGTGCACATAACTTTTTTGCCCTGGTTCTCAAAGGAGCACCTGGAGATGTTGCTTGGTGCTCATCCTTAAAATGAAATAAACCGTAACTTTTGAGGGGGTCTTGACTTTATTTGCCAGACACACGGCACTGAACACACGTGCAGAGGTGAACACAGAACACACATGCAGAGGGTGAACACAGAACACACATGCAGAGGTGAACACAAGACAACATTAGCACGACCAGTAATCCTACAAGCTGTCATCACTACCCTCCTGACTGTTCTCCTCACTGTCTTCCTCTCTGTCAGACATGGTAGCTGATGATGTAGGCCTACTACTTTCTCTCTGGTTGAGTCTGCGATTAGCTGCTTGCATCCACAAGTCAACAGCTAGTTTTGGGTCGAAAGTCTCTGTTGTCATCTTAGACAAGTGGATGTAATCAAATAAGTATGTGAACATAACCAATAGCCTACCATAGCCAATAACAAATTAATGTAACTTATTTTATTTGTGTTGTTCATTCAAATCTTATTTTACCTTAACATTTATTTATGTATACATTTTTTTTGTATCTCTCCAGTTTTAAAGGATATTTTTGGTTACTGTCCTATAGTATACATTGGAATGATTTAAAACCTGTTTATCCCAATAATTACAAAGGAGTGCCTTGGAAATATGTGTTTACATAAATTGTGACCAAACCGTTTGAACTTAGACTTATGGCGCGTTTCCACTGCAGCGGGTAGCCCCGTTTAAGCGTCCTTAACCGTCCTCAAGCGGCCAGGCCGGTTTTTGGTGGCGTTTCCATATAGCCTAGTACCGGCCAGCGGGTACTTTTTCCCTCTTTTTCCGGCCTCATAAAATCGTGGTTCTATCAGACCAGGGCCAGGGCTGAACTAGTGACGTCAACACTCTCGACTGCTGATTGGTCAGAGAGAATCGTCACAAGATTGCGCGCGAGTTCATCCCTAGCGTCGCATATATATCTAGAAGCAAGCTTGCAGCATTTTTATACACAGCATTTTGTAAACGGAGGAGCTACAAAAATGGCTACTTCTAAGAAAAGCACATCGTGGTCGACCGAGGAGGTGACGACGTTCCTACATCTCATTGGGGATGATCAAATCCAGCGGGAGCTCGACGGAACAACTCGAAATGTGAACAAAAACAAAGCCGATCGCCCCGCCTACACTGCGTTGCTACCCCAGGTCCTAAACTGTAATGGAAATGCGCCACGGCCTGGGCCGGCCAGCGAGGCAGCCCGAGGCCAGAGCGAGGACGCTTAGGGACGCTTAAACGGGGCTACCCCGCTGCAGTGGAAATGCGCCATAAGAGTCCTTTACCTCACTGAGCTGTAGTTAACTTATCAGCCTCTCAGTCTGACTGGAGAGGACTCTCCCTCCACATTATTGTAGAAACATCTTCTTCTTATCTCCGTTAGAGCAGCTAGCACGGCACCAGATTATAATAACAACAGCGCTGGTACCACCCTCCCTCTCTCCCTCGCTCACTCGCTTTTTGTCTGTGAGCTGCGGGCGCCAGATAAGCCAACATCCCCCATTTTCATCACTTACAGCGCCCATCGTACAGGGCAAATGAAAGGTGGAACCGGGGTGAAAAGGGTGTTACATTTACTTCATTGTGAATATTGTTACATCAAGGCCGAAAATTAGGATGAGCACCAACGGTCAAAAAAAAATGTTCTCTCCCAGAACTGCCAGCGCAGCACCTCCCCAGATCTGGCGCCCTAGGCGAACATCTAGCCAGAGCTACGGGCCGGCCCTGAGTTCATATCATGGTTCATATGCAACTCGCAAATATCTTTCTCTCTCTCTCATCTCTCCTCTCTCCTCTATTTTCTCTTTTCTCTTCTCTCTCTCCCTCTCAATGTTGGTACGCAAATGCGCTTTGTTTCAAATGACCCGGTGCTCTTTTTTTGGCGGAGGTGCGCATGCGCACCAGTTATGTGCAGCCCCGATTATAAACAATTGCTTCAAAGCCACAGATACATTATCAACCTATGGATCAACCGATTCAGCCGCGTTTTTTCTTTCTCGTTTTAATGCCATTGAACACGTCTTTTGATCAGATTGACAGCTACGGTGAGACGATCTCCCGTAAAAGCTCCGTAAAAGGTACGTATTGTGATGTCTGTGTTTGCTTCCCCTGTTGCGAGATCGGATCGCTTAGATACTATACTTAAATAATATGTGGAGTCTCAGCTTTAATCGGATATATTGTATGTGCAGTTTCGATAAGTAATAAGGGTATCTTTATTTTGAATTCTGTGCTAAAGTGCGTTATAACTACGGGGGTCCCTCAGGGCTCTGTTCTTGGTCCCCTCCTCTTCTCCCTGTACACAAACTCGCTCGGATCAGTCATTAGCCCGCATGGTTTTTCTTACCACTGCTACGCTGATGACACCCAATTAATTCTGTCCTTTCCCCGCTCAGAGACCCAGGTCGTTGCACGCATCTCTGCTTGTCTAGCTGACATCTCTCAGTGGATGTCTGCTCACCACCTCAAGCTCAACCTTGACAAGACTGAGCTGCTCTTCCTCCCGGGAAAAGATTGTCCCACTCTTGACCTAACAATCAACATCGGCACCTCAGTTGTTTCCCCGACTCAGACTGCAAGGAATCTGGGTGTGACCCTAGATAACAACCTGTCCTTCACTGCAAACATTGCTGCTACAACCCGTTGCTGCAGATACACGCTTTACAACATCAGGAAGATACGTCCCCAGCTGACTCAGAAAGCGACTCGGGTTCTGGTCCAGGCTCTCGTCATCTCACGCCTAGACTACTGCAACTCCCTCCTGGCTGGTCTACCTGCATGTGCCATCCGACCTCTGCAGCTCATCCAGAATGCAGCGGCTCGTCTGGTCTTCAACCTTCCTAAATTCTCCCACACCACTCCGCTCCTCGGCTCCCTTCACTGGCTTCCGGTAACTGCTAGAATCCACTTCAAGACACTGGTACTTGCTTACCAATGCTGCGAATGGATCTGGCCCTTCCTACATCCAGGACATGGTTAAAACCGTACACCCCAGCGCGTGCACTACGCTCTGCATCAGCCAAACGACTCGTTGCGCCCTCGCTGCGAGGGGGACCCAAGTTCCCATCGGCGAAAACACGTGGGTTTGCTGTCCTGGCTCCAAGATGGTGGAATGAGCTCCCCATTGACATCAGGACGGCAGATAGCTTGCACATCTTCCGGCGCAAACTGAAAACTCATCTCTTTCGACTCCACTTCGAGCGTTAGAACTATTAACGAAGCACTTTTATACTAATAAAGGACTGGCTTACCTAAAGCCAGTTGAGTAGCACTTGAAATGTTTGGCTCTATGAAACCTGATGTACTTATATGATTCTGTTTTCTTCAAGGTTGTGTCTTCCTGGTCGAATGTACTTATTGTAAGTCGCTTTGGATAAAAGCGTCAGCCAAATGCAATGTAATGTAATGTTATAAAACCGCACGTCCCTGCGGTGTGAATACCGCGCATGCGCATACCGCGGTTATCGCCATGACACGGTATATCGTTCAGCCCTAGCGGGAGTGTTTACGTGTTCGGTGTAATGACGTAAAACGGCCTGGACAACTTCTGTAGTCCTATTCAGCCACATGTTAACAACCATCGTTTTTCAGACACGTAAACTCGTCAAAAATCACCAGTGGGGTCACTGCTGATGTATTTAATGTCGTAGAACAAAACGTGATCCGTCTCTTCAATGTGTCTCAACCACAGACCTTATTTCCAGCTATTTTCCAAAACCCTATGGAGAAATCCCATTGCTTTTTGTCGAAGGAACCGGAAGTGGTAAAAATGCTAACTTACTTCCGGGTTTTAGGATGCGTCACTGTGGCACTCTATAAACAGTACAATTAAGAAGGAAAAGGGGATGAATATTTTTACTTCTCCTCTTTGCCAATAATTATGAGACAACCGATAGTTTCACATTTCAGTATTTTAATTATAGTGTTATTGAACTTTAGTTTATGAACACCTGAGGTTACAAAGGGCTAAGATGTAGTGATCAAAGATGGATGAATTCATATTCTATAGCTCTGACCTAACTGGAAACACTACTTAAACACACAAAAAACGGTTCAGACTCTTTAAATAACATTTATTATTTCTAGTTTGGTACATCAGAAAATTCAACTCCTCTATTGGACACTTCTCCTTGACACTCATCCATTTTTCTCCATGATAAAGATTTCCTCCTCTGATTTCAAACCAACAATAAAGATGTAGATGTATTCATAGTACACATATTTGGTATGGCACCTTCCCTTTCCAGCTGATTTTTATTCATTGTGAATCATCTCATACACATTGAAACAGAGAGTACCCTTCCAACTTCAATCAAAGTAGCTTGGAAAGTGTTTTAATGAAGCAGCAGCCATGTTGTTTCTCTCATGTATCTTCTTCGCTCTCACAGGGGATTTGACAGATGCTAAAACGGAGAGTAAGGTGGGTTCACTCCAGCACGAGGTGGAGTGGCAGGCCTACCACAACATCCTGAAGAGGTCTCGTGTGATGGAGCGCACGAGGTGGATAGACATCCGAGGAAATCATGGTGATTAACCGCAGCACTTTCTTCATCTTTTAATGTTCTCTGCAAACTCACTGGTGCCATGGAAACATCCCAGAGTACAATTAAGATTTTCTGAAGAATCCATTAACTGCGGTGGTCATGCTACCCCTCCTCTTCACTGCCTCTTTCCCCTCTTTTATTGGATCGCAAGCTATTAGATCGGAAAGAAAATATCTTAACTTTGTAGATTTTGAAAGAAAAGAAAGCTAGTTATTGGATCTGAAGTTTCTGTGACCACCAAATCTCCTCTTATTGATCGCAGTGGTAGATATGTGTCCTGTTATTGTGTCTGTTAGTGGGTTCTATGTTTATCCAGTTTGATATCAAATGAGGAAATCAGAATCATAGACTTTCTTCATTAGACATGCTGGTGTTTAGCAAGCAAATTATGAAATGGTTGTCTTTTATAGCTTACATTTTGTTAAACCTCACCATCATTTCATTTCTTCTGACAGATGCCTTCAATATAATGTCATTGGACAGCGTCAACAATTATTACCGGTCAGTATGATACACAGTAAACACCTGATTTATATACTGTTACAGTCTACTCCTCCATGTCCTATATTAGCGAGCTAAATGTGAAGTCGATCAGAGAGCGTAGTAACTTCAATGCCTCTGAAACCGGAGTAGTTGCAGTTGCAGACCCATTTTTGACAATAATGCGAGCTGTCTGAGTTTCCTGAGGACTGAAATAGAAGCACACTCGGCAGAAAGAGACACTGACTCTCCTTTCTTCTGACACAAATTATGTTTTATGTGACATTGGCTGCTTCTGTTAATGCTGATTTATCTTGTATCTCCTTAATATTCCTAATGTTGTGGCCATCCTCTGCCAGACAAAGAAGCCTAATTCTGTGCAAGCCTAATTTATTTATTTAATATAAAAATGCATCAAATGATCTCTCAGCACTCTGTGGAAGCTGCTGGCTCATCCCAAACCACCCTTGTTGCTCTAATAGACTTTCTTTTCCCAATGTTCTCTAGGAAGTACTCTGCTAATCAGAAAATAGGCTCATTCCACTATGTTCACAAAACTCCCTTCGGCAACTACTCCTTTGTCTGTGCGGACGCCACTCTGACTCCGGGACCCAAGAGGCCGTACAATTTCTTTGGTATTCTTAACCAGGTACAACTCCAGTGCACAATCTGTTGAATATAAACATTGGCTGAATATTTTCTAAACTTTAGAAGACAGAGAACCTTTGAATACTTAAAACAACCGTTCTGTTATTACCCATTAGAGGATTAGTGGAGGCTTAAAGGATTTAAGGTCATAATCCTCTATAGGGAACTGTGGCCATTAAAAAGTAAATGGAAAATAAAATGTTTCAAAATTAGAAGGTTGTACTAAATGACACAATGTACAATATTCACTTACTAAAAATTATAATAAACAGTGCCTTATGTGTCTTTATAAAAGGAACAAATCCAGCACTTGTACAGTATACTGCAGATAATACATGTAAAGTAATATATAGTTATTCTAATGTATTTCTCTCAATCTATGAAAGACTCAAATGGACCTGCTGGACACGTTCAGAGCTGAGAGTCTGAAGAGCAACCAGTCGATCTGGTTTGGCCACTACACCACCTCAACTGTCGTTTCCCCGTCTCCAGGAATCAGAGACTTGATGAGGTATTAGTGCCGAACCAGCTACATTCCTTACAAGTGCATTGTCCCATTGTCTGCCGACAGGTTTGAGTTAACACACAAGCTTAGAACTATGAAGCTAAAGGTGAGCAGTGTTTGACTTGCAACTGGTTCACTCCATTAAATCCCCCCCCCCTTATCACCTGAATCTCCTCCTAGAGCACCATTGTGTTCTTTTTAACCAAATGTCTCTCAGAGGGCGTGGGGAGGGGCTCCTTATTTTCATCTAAAGTAACAGACAGAGAATCAGCACTTTGGAAACAGGGCTGAAACAGAGGGGATTATGGGTAATGCTGCAAAGATCTGTTTGGTGTTTGGAGCCAAACACTTCAGAGACATGTTTTGTATATATCTGAGAGTTATAATATATTGATGAAAAACAGTATAATAGGAGACCTTTAAAATATTTACAGCAGTAGTTGGCGTATTATGACAATGTTACTTATATTCTTACATGTGGGATCCTTGTGTTTAGATCTGCAGTAGCGTATCTGTGTGGCCACCTGCACACGCTGGGCGGCCTGATGCCCGTCCTCCACAGCCGACACCCCACAGGCACCCTGGAGCTGGAGCTGGGTGACTGGATGGACAACCGCAGGTACGAAAGAAAACAACAAGTTATTATTTTACCATCTTGTTTGTTTGTTCACCATGTAAAGCGGCCTTGGGTCCCTTGAAAGGTGCTATACATATGTAATCTATTATTATTATTAAAAGGTCTTGAATTAATTGGACAAAAGTCTAAAATATTTTCATCTCCCTGTTGTGGTAGTCATATTGGTCAAACGATTTCCTATTTGAACGCAGGTCGTCATCATATGCCTATTAAATAATAAAACAACAGTGGATTATGCTAAAAGTTGTTAAATCAATGTTTATTGAGTTTCAGTAGGAAACTATAATAGCTGTTACAAACACTTTACTTAATTTAAATTATAATTTTAGATTTCAATGTTTATTTAGTTTATTTATATAGCCCAATATCACAAATGTTACATTTGTCTCAGTGGTCTTCACAGTGTGTACAGAATATCAGTATGACAATACGACACCCTCTGTCCTTAGACCCTCTGTCCTTAGACCCTCACATCGTACAAGGAAAAACTTCCGGAGAAAACCCACAGTATTATATTATATTATATTATTAGTATTATAGATTTTAGACTTTGTATTTCATTGAATGCAATATATCCTTTTAATTATTGTTTTACTTGTGGGAAATACTGAAAAATTGTGTCTAAATAATTCAAGGCCATATCGGCCCTGGTAGTCCCTTGTATTGTCATATTGTGAGTATGTATTAAATTGCACTTTGAGTAAATTAAAAAGGTCTTGAACTTGAACCCTGCACTAACCCGTCTCACGCCTGTCTCCAGGTACAGGGTTCTGGCCTTTGACAACGACCTGCTAAGTTTCTCCGACCTGAAGTTTGAGCAGTGGCCAGCCGTGCTCATCACAAACCCCAAGGACGCTCAGTACCTGCACCCCGGACTGGAGCCGCTGGGCCGAATACGGAGATCAACGCACATCAGGTGTTTGTTCTGTGTGTGATCACTGTTTGCTGAGCCATAAACCCCTCCCTGGCCTCTCACGTACTACACAAGTGTACACAACACACATGTTTACTGAGCACCTGCCACTTACACCTATAGACCCATGCTGTGGAGATTCAAGATTCAAGGCTTTTATTGTCATTCGTACATAGCTACAGTGTAGTTATGCAGATGAACATCTTAGGTCCCAGGCAGTGCAACACAATAAAACAGATAAAATAGTGCAAGTTAATACAATAAAATAGAATAGAAGTAGTGCCATAAGAGTATACAAGTGATACCAGGGGCTCCGCTGGGTCTTAAAAAGTATTAAAAGTTGATAAATCAATTTAGCGAAAATGAAGGCTATTAAAAAGTATTAAAGGACATTTTCCAAGGTATTACATTTTGTAGCTTGTTTTCAATAAGTATATAAATGGTCCAAAGAGGTTGTATTCTACAGTCTGCCTGAATGTAATCATTGCGTAGGTGTGTAGTGTGATTCTGTGTAGTTTATTTATGGCATCCCGTTGGATTTGACGTCATCTGAACAGGACATCGCACGCTCACTGCTTGATAGTGCGAAGGTCCGTTTACGCCGGTTGTTAAACAACATCGTTATGGGGAAATGCAAGTTAGCGTCCAAATGGTTGGAAGATAAGGAGGAAGGACAATCAATACTGTATATAGTCAATGTGAGGTAAAGTGTGTCGCCAATGTCACCGGTTAGAACTCAAAAGTGGCGATGAGGTCTTAAAATGTGTGGAAAGGGTCTTAAAAGGGTCTTGAAAAAGGTCTTAAAGGTCTTACATGTGACTTCAGGATTCCTGCATATACCCTGGATACATAATTTGTAAGTTACAAACAGGTGAATGTTATGGATGTACTTAGTTCAGGTGTTTAACAGTCTTATGGCCTGTGGAATAAAACTGTCCCAAAGTCTGGTGGTTTTAGTCCGGATGCTGAAATAATAGATTTAGTGTTTTTTAACCCCGAACCCTTTTTTGCCATGTTTTTACCACCACCTGAGTAATGGGAACAACTATTGTTGAAATTGGGCCAGTATGGAGTGAGAGTGCTGCAGCTGCAGAACAAGCTGCTTGTTTTTGCCCCCGACACTCTGATTTATTTCCTGGACTTTATTCAATTATCGTTGTCCCCATTCGTCACTATAAAGATTTGGGTTAGATCCTCTTTTAAAGGACTAGTTGAAATTGAGAGACAAGAGGCAATTCTTTCAACTTATTCTTTATTAGTTATTTTCTCACATCCAATAGTACTCCAACAGTTTCTTTAACAAGGGGTCACAACATGTTTAATGTCTCAAATCCTAAAAATTAAACATGAGAATATGAAAAACAAAATGTGTAGAAATCAAATCAATAATGACACTGAGAACGTAAATGACAAGAGGCAATTCTAAACGTTTTGTCTATTTCTTATGAACCACTGCACTTATTTCAATGGATTTGTTGTTATAAAGATACAAATATTTATACCCTGTATGTCTCAATTATTTCATAAACTATAGTCAAATATTCACCTGGAAATCAGCATAATATGTCCTCTTTAAGTAACACATTGCATGTTTTGCAACCTTAGCACAAGAAAGAAATGGAACTTTTTTTAAATGTTCAATATTTAACCCTTAATTGTCTTGGTTCCAAATAGGATCTTGGCTTTCTCGGAGGCCACAATCACAGCGGTGCATGTGAGCGTGGATGGGGAACCTCTGGGGGAGGGCCGCTCTGCTGGAGGTCCTCTCTATGTTCTGCTGTGGGATCCATCTCTCTACCTCACTGGAGTGCACACCATCAGAGTTAAAGTGGAGGTCAGTGGAGCTTTCATTTATCTTAAAGTGTCCAGAGACTTGATTTAATTTGACGCTTTAATTACAATATGGATCTGCTGTCTTGGCACTAAGATTTTTAACGTGCTTGTTCTTCTAGAATTAACAATATGCTTATCTTATCTTTGTGTGTGTGTGTGTCAGGACTCGGCGGGCCGGTCGTCAGTGCGGGAGCAGCACTTTACTCTGGAGGGCAACCTGACTCCTAGCTTTGGGTTCATGCAGTCCTTCATCCTCCTCACAGACCACTACATCCTGGCCCGAGCAGCCTTCATATTCGTTATCCTGCTGAATGTGGGGGTGCTGCTGGCCTTCAGGTTCCTGCCTGCTCCTTCTGGGAGAGGTGAGCTGTCACTGAATACTAGTCAAATCCTCATATTTTTGTTTGATTACAGAAAACTGAAGTTACCTGTTGTCTACGATCAGACTCTGCAGGATTTAAAATCAGATATTGGCAACATAATGTCTCAAAATGACTAGACATGTTTGATATTTTGTAAGACGTACTTTAATCTAAAATGTTTCAGACACATTTAAAACCAAGAAACATCCATCATTTTAACCAAACTATTGGGTTGTTTCATTCGATTGCCTGTTTATCCGGTTACAAGCAACATTTTTTACAATAAACTTCTGAGATGTTTATAGTTTTTAACTTTATTTTAACTGGAATAAGATTTAAGGGTTTTTCCAGTTTTTATCAGCAATTATTTTAGTTTGAAGAGGATGAGACCTGTTTCAATCATTTAGCTTCTTAGGAAAACCCAATAATCGGGAGAAGCTGACTGCAATGACAACAACAAAAAACTACTTCTATAGGACCATGCTATTCAAAACTTCACCAATCTCCGTCTCTTGTTTTTGTTTTGATTGAGAAACCCTAGCTGCAGAAATGACATATTGTGCATTTCAGTAATTATTTGAATAACAGCAATAGTTCTTTGTATATTCATATTTTTTTGTTTTGTCTACAGGATTGACCTCTCAAGCATGCATGTCTCTCCATCTGGTCAGCTCAATGGACACCTTCTACTACTCTCTGCTGCTATTCAACCTGTGTACAGCCTTAGGTGGGTCCACTGCTTTGTCTCATTCATTGTTAGTGTGCTGCTTCATAGCAAATATACACAATCTCTCTGAACTTAATACTCAAACTGACTATGAGACATTGCTCTTTAAAAATGCATGGTTTCCTGTCATTTTGCATCTGTTCCTGTATAAATACCTCCTGTGTTATTTCTGCCTCCCCCCAGGGCCATGGTTCGTAGGAGAGCTGATAGATGGCCATAGTGGTGCCTGCTTCGCCTTCGGGGTGTTTGTCGATGGGCACTTCCTGGAAGGCAGTCTCACATATGTTATTGGAGTCGTTCAAGTAAGAACTTACATTTTATATAACGCTTTTACATCTCCCTAGTGTCCGTACATAGGCAAAACCTTTAACAGATTTGCTTTGTCTATATTAATATGGGGATATATGGAGTTCAACCAGCAACTTTAATCAATGGTTTTAATCATCAAAAGGTCACATGGTTGGTTACCCCTATGTTTAAGTGTCTGCCCGTAGCGGTGAAGCCACAGAAGATGTATTACCCACTCACAAGATATTTAAAACTAAAACTCTTCTGCCATAAACATCTTTAAAATCAACTCACTTTTTGAGCAAGTCATATTCTCTCCTACTTGTGATGAGAGTTCACGGGTAAATATTTCTTCCTTTTTTAAGGGTTCTCAAGCAAAAGTGGTTGAGAGGAAAAAGGCTTCATAAACCTTTACTTATCATGGTCAACATTTGTCCCACTTGAAGCCATATGTTCATATACTGTCCTTGCCTTGCTGTATTTCTTATGAAAAAATCTGCAGTGGTTTTCAAGCTACTAATCACATCTAACCGGACTCATTTCCTCTCCCCGCCAGCTGCTTTTCTTCAACATGCCCCTCACCTGCTATCTCTGCTGGAGCCTCCACCACCGTTGCCGTGGTAACACCTTCCGATCCCACTTCCTGCGGCCGGGCTGCCGCTGGCGGACTCTGGCGTTTCACCTCCTCATGCTGCTGCTGCTCACCTGGCAGGCGCACTCTTGCTACTTCCTCTTCGAGACCTACGGCGCCGTGGCCTTCTTACTGTCTCCGGTCCGCACGTGGGCGTTTGGGCTCAGTCTGCTATTGGTCTACCACGCCTGGACATGCCCCGCCCCTCTCGCTCGTGACAACAGCAAGAGCGTCACTCCTTCTTGACAGTAATTGCACTGTTTCCACCACGATCTCTCTGGAGCCTGATATATTTTACTGTCTCTATCCACCTTGAAAGCAGCGCCTTCCTTTCTTTCTCTCCTTCTTCCAAAACCAGTACATCACTCACTATCCTGTTTATCTTGTTTACTTAATATGCATGTTATTGTTAAACACCGGTGAGCACATTTCTAGCCATATCCAAAACAATGTGTACAGTGTAAGAAAAGAAAAAAGATACGTTGGGAGTGAAATAGCCTCTTTGAGCTACGAGCGGTCCAAATTGTACTGCACTTAACAGTCAGTATATTCTGCTGTGATTCAGAGGGATCGTTTGTCATTTTTAAAGTGGGGTTGTATGAGGAACTGACCCATAAAAAGATGACAGTCATTGCGTCACCACTTTGTAGAGACAGATTACCGGCACAAAAGCTAAGCAACGTACAGCTGTGAATCGGGGACATTGGATTTCTAAAAAAAGACACTTTCATCTCTTTAGGCGTATGCTATATTCAGAATATTTTAAATGCTTTACCTTGCTGACAGAAGCCTTTCTTTTAGGTGGCTACAATATTACTTGTTCTGCTTCCCCCCATCCACAGCAGTACACTGATTTGCTTAGGTGATCATACTCCTGTCTGCTTCTCCAGATCAGAGGTGTGCCGATCACTGATTAAAACCTCCTGCAACAGCATTTCAAAAATTCAAACTATCCCTTTAGGCTGACTCATTTACTTGAGCGTTTAGCTTATTTAGGAAGTGTTGCCTTGGCCGAATGCCACCTCACCACTGCCAAAGGATGAATAAGTTAATAATAACGACTTCTTCATCTTTTATTCTTCCCGCTGAAAATCATTTTCATTCGCTAATGAAGGCTGGACGTGCCAAACCATACCTTCATTTTGTATTCTGTGAGCTTTCCTAACTCCCCATGGCTGACAGTGTTGTAGTTACAGTAAATCCGGGGGAGATGACGCAGGAAATGCAACCTAGGTCATCATAAGTTTATTCTACACATGATTACAGGAGATCAGAGGAAGGAGATTTCAAAATCAATCACATACTGTAGTTGGTCTGTGTTCAAATAGTTGATGATTTAAAGTGTTTTTAAATAAAATACCATTGCACACAACTGCCACATAAAAACATGTCAATATTCGCAGTGAATAGTTAAAAAACGTACATGCCGTTTTTCTCCAAAACGCAACAACATGCCGGCCTGACTCTTCGTGCTCCTTCAAATGTGACTACAGAAAGCAGCTGTTTGTTTCTCAGGAATGTGAGCACTTGAGCAAAAGGCTGGTCCCAGTAGTATTTCAGGACAATGTTTTTATACTACATAGTAGCTCATTGAACTAAAAACCATTTTCAACAGCCGAGATGTGTGGTGGCTTCCAAACAAAATGAATGTGTAATAGATGTGATGAAATGAGAAGAACCAGTACTATACTGTTTTAATTATTTATTCTTTCTGATTGTATTGAGTGATTTCTCTTTTTTCCCCTTCATGTTATATATCTGCACTGGAAATGGGTATTCCTTGAATTAATTGAAGTTGATTTGAGAGCTTTTTGTGTGAAAACGATGTTTGTCTGTATTGTTCTGAAACTGCACTCAATCCGTCTGTAGTAGCAGTTGTCTGAAATCCACCAGAACTAACTGATCTAAATATAAAAGACAAAGTCTTTTAATAGAAGTAATGTTCCAACACAGTTGAATCCTGGTTTTTTTTCTAAACCATACCCAGCATGAGTGCGGAGTAATTGCTCAGTCGTGTGATAAGACATGCAGTTTATTATTAGAACAGCTGCTTGACACTAAGAGTAAATGATGTGCACTCTTGAAGGAAATTGTTTGAAAACCTTTTCCCTTCTCTGCACAGACAAGTGTTATGGGAGCACTACCAAATGTATAACTCCAGTGTAGAGACGGATATTAAAAATGGATGACTTTTGTTATTGGCATAGTTAATTTCCCTAATGCTGCGCAGTACCTCTCACAAGATATATCTGTCCACAAGGAGGGAGTAGTGTGTTGCATTTGACTTCCACACCAACTAATGCATGGAACTGTTTTGTTTTCTGTTGCAGAAAAGCACCAATTGTTATACTCTGAATCTGGTTGTGATTGTTCTGTACTGTGCACTACTTTTAATTTTCACAACAACAAAAAAACCATTACTACCACTAAGTCTCTGAGAGGGCATATACTGTAAGTAATGTACCGGCGACCACTTCTTTTGCATCCCTTCCTATGTTCAAACACTGAAGTATATGAATGAAAAGACTTACTAAGGTAAGAGCCAATCACAATGTTATTTTATTAATGGTTTATAGTGCTGTGGAATAAAATGTTCATTACAGTAAATCATATATTTTGTGTTTGTTCTCTTGTCATTGTCACAGAAACAAAAGGGAGTCAATAACAATATGAAGCCCAACAATGACGAGATGAGTCAAAAAGTAACCATGACAATAAATAATACTGTTAGTTAAATAATTAGAAAGGATTGTAAAAGTTAAATAAAGGCTTCATATTTATCCTTTTAACTTAAATCAGTTTTATTACTCTTTTTTTCCTAATTCAGCTTGGTACACATTTAATCGTTTATCCATATCTAACACTTTCCATTTTCCTCAACACATGCAATTTTACTCGTGTTTATAGGATACCAAGATTTCCATTGGTATGTAGCTGAAAACATTGGTGGAAAATAAAATTACCAAGCACTAGATTTTTCCACTGGCTACATCTCTTTGTAAAACTACTTTAACCATCAAGCGCATGTCATGTTTATGATCAACCTACAGAAATCTCAAATCCATCTCACCTTCAGCAATCACTGCCTCCATTACCTGCAAGATGTCTGTCTGTCTGTCTGTCTGTCTGTCTGTCTGTCTGTCTGTCTCCCCCCCCCCCCACACTTTCTGAAAACCCATCTGAACTTGTGGACTATTATAACAGCACCCTCTCCTTCTGTCTCAATGAACTGGCCCCCACAAAAACAAAAAATGTCTCTTTCATACACTCCGCCCCCTGGTATACCCCCGAACTCCGCCAAATGAAATCAAGGAAACGTCAACTTGAACGCCAACACAAGAAAACCACACTAACAGTCCATCTTCAAATCTACAAAGACTATCTCCAGCAGTACAGTAATGCACTCAAAGCAGCCCGGTCTAATTACTACTACATTCAGTCTGGCTCCAGCAACCCCAAGCGTCTGTTCTCCACCATCAGCAAACTTCTCAAACCCTGTGACAACGCCACCTCGTCCTTCACCACAGAACAGTGCAACTCCTTCCTCTCGTTTTTCCAAACCAAAATCAGCAACATTTACAGCAATCTGACACCCTCATCAGCACCCCCCACCTCCCCTCCTGGCTCCCCCCCTTCACCTCACAGCCCCTGTCCCACTTCTCCCCTGTGACCCCCATGCAACTGTCCGACTTCATGACTGGAATTAACTCCACCTGCACACTTGACCCAATGCCCTCCAAATGTGTTAAAGAGAGCCTCCCTGCCATCTCCCAACTCATCGCCACCATCATTAACTCCTCTCTCAGATCTGGATCAGTTCCCCCCTCTCTCAAACTGGCTGCTGTCACACCCATTCTCAAAAGACCTGGACTCACACCTGACATCATGTCCAACTTCCGGCCCATCTCAAATCTCCCCTTTCTGTCAAAAATACTTGAACGTGTCGTTGCCTCACAACTTAAAGCCCACCTCAGCTCCAATGATCTCTTTGAGCCATTTCAATCTGGTTTCCGATCTAAACACAGCACAGAAACAGCTCTTCTGAAAATCACAAACGACCTCCTCCTCTCCTCTGACTCCGGCAACCTGAACATCCTCATCCTCCTCGACCTCACCGCAGCATTCGACACCATCAACCACACCATCCTGCTGTCCCTCCTCGAATCATCACCGACACTGCACTCTCCTGGCTGAAATCCTACCTCACCGACAGACATCAGTTTATCAACATCAACAACTGCACCTCCTCCACTACTCTTCTGTCCCAAGGCGTCCCCCAGGGTTCGGTGCTTGGCCCCCTCCTCTTCATCCTCTACATGCTCCCCCTTGGCAAAATAATTAGTCGCCACAACCTTCAATTTCACTGCTACGCCGATGACATCCAACTTTATATCAACAAAAACCATCACCCCCACAACACACTCCACTCTCACCAACTGTCTCTCAGAAATATGGATGCAAACAAACTATCTCCAACTGAACAGTGCCAAATCAGACATCATTATCATCGGCCCCCCATCCCGTATCAAAGACATTCAGAATGTCAACTTCATCATTGACAGCCACACTCTATCTCGGAGTCATCTTCGACAGTCAGCTCAAATTCAACCACCACATCAATCACATCACCAGGACTGTCTTTTTCCACCTCAAAAACATTGCCCATCTCCGCCCATCACTCTCCTCCTCTGCTGCTGAAACCCTGATTCATGCATTCATCACTTCACGACTCGACTACTGCAATAGCATCCTCTACGGCATACCATCCAACCTCCTCAATAAACTCCAACATATCCAGAACTCTGCTGCCCGCCTCCTCACCCACACCGCTCCCGAGACCACATCACTCCCGTCCTCCAGAACCTCCACTGGCTCCCCGTCCGTCAAAGAATCGACTTCAAAGTCCTCCTGATTACTCACAAAGCCCTCAACAATCAGGCCCCCCCCCCCTACCTCACAGACCTGCTGCACCACCACACCCCTTCCCGCTGCCTCCGCTCATCAGAAGCCAACCTCCTATCCATCCCCACCCACATCAATCACCGGACCTGGGGGGACAGAGCCTTCTTCGTCGCTGCCCCCTCCCTCTGGAACTCACTCCCACAACCCATCAGAGACTGCACTGACCTCACCACCTTCAAAAAACTTACAAAAACTCACCTCTTCAATCTGGCTTTTAATGTGGGATTGTTTTTGTATTATTTGACTTTAACTTTAACTATATATTTATTTGTTGTTCCTTTATTTTATTTTATCTTCACTATATATGTAAAGCGTCTTTGAGCACCTGTAAAAGCGCTAACAAATTAAATATATTATTATTATTATTTCCTAATGCTGCAGAATCACTTCTGTCGTCTTCGTAGCTCACTCACTCTATAGCACGTGTCAAACTCAAGGCCCGGGGGCCAAATCAGGCCCTTGGTGGATTTAATTTCGGCCTGCAGGATAATTTTGAATTACTATTAGATCTGGCCCGCCGGTATATTGCACGCACACCTTCACTCAATCCTGAGGGTTTCCTCAGCTCAGAGCCTGACCCCAAACATTGATGAACTTGCAGCCAAGTATCTGCTTGAACTAGCATCACAGAGCAGCACACTGAGTTTCAATGGACGTTTCCTTCTGCACTTTGTTTCTCACGACAACAGGGCATGTTTGGTTTTTTCTTTTTTTGAAGCTGTTGTTGGCCTGTGGAAAAATGTAATCATAAGAAATGACTCCGGAAAAGCTGCAGATAGAGCCATAAGAAATGAATGCAACTGATTATTTAATGTTGTTTTTATGGGCAATAATTTAAGCTTTGTTAGTTCCAGGTTTAATGTGTGCAATAAGTTCATTTCAATAAGTTTTGCAATAAACATTGAACCAGTCCGGCCCTCGCCTAGCACCGATTTTTTTATTTTGGCCCACTGTGTATTTGAGTTTGACACCCCTGCTCTATAGGCTCTTCATTGTATGTCTTTAGCACAGCCTTGCTATTTAAGGCTTATCAAACATCTTTCATTTAGTTAAAACATTAAAAGGGGCCACAAATCATATTTACACAAAGTCAGAAGTCGTGTTTCATTGATGTTAATCATCAAGATAAGAGATGTTACTTAAAATTACAATAATGGTATAAACAAGCTAGGCTACTGAGTAGTGTTAGCTAGCAGCCTTTTGCTACTGTTGAAGCAATTATACATTGATGCTAAAGCCATATTCAGTGCATATGGTTGACAAAGAAAACATTTACTGGCTCAATATTTTGGAGAAGGTTAGATTGGGTTACATAACATTAGCTCCCTGGAAGACTGGTAATTTAACAGTAAGCTAGCAGTGTTCAGTTAAGCTAGCTAGTTACTATTAGTTATTTGAACCTACAATCAGATCAGTTTTCAACTGTTGGAGGTTAAAGGAAAACATTTAAAAGCTTTATGTTTCTTTAAACACCACATTTTGATTATTTTACTAACAGTATTTTGTGTTTCTCATGTCTGATAAACCTTCTCTACCATTTGTCAGTTATAGCGCTACATACCAGAACATATGCTGATGTCTTATCATGGCACTTTTATTTTCCACACCGGATGATTTTAAAACCACAAGTGTTGAGATTGAGAAGTGAGGTAATATTATCAGGCAGCACGGCAATATGTGGTACACATACATATTTTACACATATTAAAATTGGCACCAAAGAATAAATCAGTAAGTTATAAAGTTCAAGACTTCTAAGCACTCTTTACATTTATTTTTGTCAAGAAACAAATGTAATAAAACATTGTGTGATTTATGTTTATGATGCATAATTGCCAACTAATGGCAACCGCTCATCAATGAAATATCGCACTAGAGATCATTAAGTTAGTGTTATTGGAAATCATTGAAATGCAACATGTTAATTTCCCAAGGCATCCGTCTGGTGAGAGAAGCAATTTCCTTCACTCTGATATCTTTATAATTTGCTTTCCAATGTTTCCCCCTTTCATCATGGAGCAAAATGCATCTGCAAGAAAATGAATTTGTTTTAACTTCTGGTGAATAAGCAAATGAAAGTCATGAATTAAAGAAAAACGCAATAATTAAAATCTACATACCTCCCATCTTTTCAATGCCTTCCACCACAGTTTCCAGCACCTGCAGAGTGAAAGCACAATTACTATGATGTAAAGAGAACGACGGGGGATTGGCATTGATTTTGCAAAATAACAAAGACACCCACACACTCTCATCAATCATTCCTCCTTACATTGATGTGTCCTGATTTAACTAGCTGGCTGAGTTCACAGAGGGCAGCGTCTGCTTTGTTCATGTAGTTAAGCACTGTAAATCGTTCCCGGGTGATATTGTTCCTTCGCAGGGTTTCCTGTATCTCCTCGCTCAGAGGCGGAGGATATGGCACATCTTTGTTATACTGTGAGATCTGCCCACACAGGATCACATGGCTGTTGTTGTTCATCTGGAGGTTAGAAGAGTGTCAGAGATCAATGTGTGCGAATTAGTTAAAAGACACAAAACACTCATTGTTAAAGATAAGGGCAAAACACTTCTGAACACATTGTAGCCAAAAATCTAATTTTGCAATTGTTGGTAGACCAGTTAGGCAAAGATCAAACAAATAATATCTCATAATTCACATATTCTTAAGCCAAATAAACCACAAATTAAAGTAAGATATGCTCTGCACAAACACAAACACAAATCAAGCAGTACCTGTGCAATTACAGTATCACTGATGCCACCTCCCACGTTGTCAAAGTAAACATCTATCCCATCGGGGCAGAGCTCCTGGAGCTTTACAGGTATGTCCTCTTTGCGGTAGTTGATGGCTGCAGAAAAGCCGCAGTCATCCACTAAAGCTCTGCACTTCTCTTCAGAGCCGCAAATCCCAACCGCTCTCACACAGCCATCCAGCCTGCCGATCTGGAAAAATAGAAGCAGGGAGAAATTATAGAATCAGGACTTCACTTTCTTTCCTTTGTAATCCAATCTTGTTTATTTTGGCAAATGTGTTTTTTCTAGATTGGATCGGCTAACCTGAGATTTGTTTATAAAATAATAAAGTTATAGTTCTCACCATTTTGCCTTTATATTTGTTTCATCACAAACCATTAAAAAATAGAAAATACTAGGAATTACTGCAAAATACGAAGGTATAAGCCCTACAATTTTAATAATAATTTGACCATGCAAGTTGTAAGTATCTCATGTAACTACAGCTGTATAAACATTACATTTTATTTGGACCTAAATCTGACATTAGCTGTATTTACCTGTCCAGCTACGGAGCCACAGGCCCCAGCGGCGCCACTCACCACCATGGTCTGATTGGCCCCTTTGGTCACATTGCCCTTCTCCCTTACGCCTAACAGTGCAGTGAGACCTGTTATCCCAACTGCACCCAAAAAGTACGACAAGTGTCCATCGACCACCTGTGGATCAACCTGCAAGACACGGAATGTAATACATTTGTTGTTGTCCTTGATGTCAATATTCGAGATGATTTCATAATAATAATAATAACTTGGATTTCTATAGCGCCTTTCATAATACCCAAGGTCGCTTTACAAGGAAGAACAGGAGTATAAACAAACATAACAAACATAACATAACAAAAGGCAGTCAGACAAAACAACAAATAGATTTGGGGCCGAAGTCCTTGGCAGACAGATGGGACTTGAGGGCCCTTTTGAAGGCGTCAAGTGTGGGGATGTTGTGGATCTCCGCAGGGAGAGCGTTCCAGAGAGTGGGGGCTGCCATACTGAAGGCTCTATCCCCGAAGGTTCACAGGTTGGTGCGGGGGGCCAGAGTCTGAAGACCGCAGGCTCCGGGGTAGGGCATGTGGGAAGAACAGCGAGCCAGCTAGCAGCTAGCACCATTAGCCTGGTAGAAACCGGACCTCGAACCTCAGCAGCGGTGATGGAAAACCCCCCACATATCACATAGTGGTTACTTTAGAAGCATGCATGCATATTAAACAAATTCTCATTTTTGCATTAGAATATATGAACTATGGTCTTTATCCCAGGGACACACAGTAATATGACATACCTTTTGTAAGGCACTCCCTTTCATGACAGCTTTGGTCTGCCAAGGCCAGTTGAATGAAGTGACCACATCTCCCTCACTGCAAGCACTGCAGCGACTGGACTCGACCACACCGACACCTCCACCATCTACACACTCAGACAGCTGCCATGGAGTCACATAACCAACACCGGTGTCTTCATTCATTCTGCACCGCTGAAAAGATCAGAGATTGGTAGGAGTGATGGAGATGGCGAAGCTTTACAAGTGGTTTAATCCTTGCCTCTTGTCTTAGACTTTCAATAGATATCCCAGATGGACAAATTAATCCTTCAGTCTTTGTAATTTTACATAAAACTCATCTGCTTTGCACCATTTCTTTATACCAGACAGTGTGTAATCTCAATATGCATTATGCAAATACAATAACTTTGATGATTGATGTCCATTCAGATTGTATCAATATACCATGTAAGGGTCGACTGAGAGGCAAAGCGTCCGGACAAGGACCTCCCCATCTTCCAGGTCAGGTGCCAAAGTGGTCTCCTCTAGGCGGAAATGTGCAGGAACTGGCACTCCGTTGTTACCTTGTGCATAATAAGTAGTTTGAGTAATCGCTAGCCACACCACCACGTGTGCAGTAATGTTGCAGCACAGGACACACACACAACAGGTAATCTCTTAGGAAAAGTGTCCTACCTGGTCGTGAGTTGAGAACGACTCTCTGCACCGGCATCCTTGGAAAGTAACGCTAGCCTTGATGTCTACGCTAAGTGGCACTGGGACCTGAATTAAAAACCCGACCTGACAACAACCGTCAAGTTTGATGAGAAGTGTGTTAAGAAATGTCTGGTTGTTATATAAAATAGCAACACGAAAAGTGTCCAACTTCTTGTAAAACCTGTTACAAACACTGTGTTAACATTCCTTCTGCTCTGTCTGTAGGAGGTTAGCAGAAAGTCAACACACCACTGAAGAGGTCTAATTCAATAGAAAGCAAGATGGTTCCCTGTAACCAACTTCCGTCTTCGCTAAAACCCAATCGGAAGTTAACCCGATTTTATTTTTACCTAGACATATTATATTGATTACGTGTCTATTAAAAAACAACTATATTTAATTAAAAATGTAAACTAGTGATAGCCTTGTTTCACACACCCAAGATGTATGTCTTGAAAAACATTGTTAGCTGGCAGCCGTTACATTTAATATATTAATAAACATTTGTATAATACAATATATTATTTCAATATGTTAAATACAAAAGTATATTATATTGCACTTTTTAATAAATGTTGATGCTTATATGAGGTATGTATACGAAAGTGCGAGATTATTTGCCCCATGTTCCGGTATAGCGGGTGCGAACCATCTTGTCGTTCATATGTAGTCTTTTCCTAGTTTAGCCGTTAAAGGCAAAGGCAGTTACTGCAAATCAGAAACGGTACGCGGCCTGAAACAGCTATTAATCCAGCTCATCAACGCTGCAAGTATTAAACTATATTTAGCAGGGTATTAACAAACATTTCAAATCGATGTTGCCAATGCAATCGATCTGCTTCTCATTAAAACTCGTAAAGTGGGTAACTTGTGAAGTCCCATAGATGGGTTGCACACAGTATCTGTTGCTGCTAGCTAAAAGTGTCTCAAACTGGGAAGTGACGCTTCGTGGAGGAATCTGAGAAAAGAGTACCGTTACGTGGGTGTGATCTTATATGAGACGAGTAAGGATCGTTGCTTACAGGAGCTTACCCTGCAGCAGGACACCGTGAAAACAGGGACATGAAGGTGTATGTGCCATGGAGGGGCAGAGTTTAATGTAAGTACTATAAGGCTTTTCGCTTGTGCATGCCAACGCTGTGCTAGTTGTTTTGTTTATGATGGTCCTGTACGCTGGACCTAAAGTGCTGTTTCTGGACAGCTAGCTAGTCTGGACAGAAGCTAGCTTCACGTCACCCTCTCTCCCTCACATAAACATATGTCACAATCACAGAAAGACCCAGAAGAAAGACTCTCCAGTGTGCAGTTTATAGTGCAACATTACTACCTGTGGCTATCTTCCTGGTCTTTGCTGTGCATACAAAAAAACGTTCCTACAAAACAAGTACACTGGTTTAAAGTAACTAAGTATATTATTTACTCAAGTACTGTACTTCTTGAGGGACTATTGTACTTTATTTGAGTTTTTCAATTAGTTTTATACTTTGTACTTCTACCCCACTACAATTTAGAGGTAAATTGTGTTCTTTTATTCCACTACATTTATTTAATATCTGTAACTATTTTGCAGATTTGGGCTAATACTGTGAAATATAAACAACACTTAAAATTAACCTGCAGCAAAGCAAAGTAATTAAACTAGTTGCAACTTTACCAGCTTTGATAACACTTTAATGCATATATTATTCTGAAATGGACCAATCTGCATAATGAGTTACTTTTGGTACTTTAAGTATATTTTCATGCTAATACTTTTGTACTTTTACTTGTAACAGAGTACTTCTACACTCTGGTACTTCTACTTTTATTGAGTACTTCTTGCACATTTCTACAAAACACATGTGATCAACATGATCACTATATTATACAATGATTTGTTTAATTTGAATGTCAGTTCTAAAAGTCAGTACATGTTGGCCTTTTGGCTAGCAAATAATAATAGGGAACTTTAAATCCTTATGAAATGGAACGTCTAAAAACACTTCCCCCTGTTGTTCACTTTATGTCCCTCACCATTTTATACAATTTGCTTGTTTTGCTTGATCAACATTAAAAAAAAACAAGGAATTTCTCTGTATAATGAAATATAACAGGAAGTAGAAGCAAGTCTTCCCTTTCAAGGAACTTTAAATATAAAATGTGTTTCTTTCTTGCTTGAAAAATAACTATTAATAGATTATCTGATGACATGCTGATTCAATTTTCGACAGTTGACTTAACAATCCATCATCTTTTCAACACTACTCAAATCAAATTTTATTTGTAGAGCACATTTAAAAACGATTTTGGTCGAGCCAAAGTGCTGTACATGTAATTTAAACACATAAAAAACACATTATATCACAATAAAAGACAATAAATCACAACAGATGAAGCAACACATGGAACAGTCAGGAGTCGTGACCCCACTCTAACTAGAAGGCTACTGGAATCAGCTTCAACAAACCATATTGTTGCAGCCATGTGACAAGGTTGTGTTGCACACTCTCAGTGCAGTGACAGTGTCCCTGGCGACAGACATGTCAGCCTGACTCGACTTCTTGTCAACAGGCATCTGTGAATGTGTTCAGGCTTTGCACGTTATTTTAAGGGTCAGAGTGAATAGGGAGAGACTGCAGCCCGGCAGAGTCTGGCTGGATCATGCCTGCTCATGTCCAGTGCCATTATATCACAACATTTCCAACATCTTCCCATTATATACGTTGTTTTGCAATCTGCCTTGTTGTCATAGTACAAAAGTACAAGTGTCTCTAATAACAGTAACATGGGTTTGGTTCTTCTCAAGTGTCCCAGTAATCTATTGAGATGTGGCAGCAAGCCAGCATGCACAATACAAAGACACTCAAACAACTAAAAGGAATTTAACCATCTTAACCTTATTATTTACACCTGTGCTTTGAAAGAACCTGTCTAGTGATGATCTCCTATATACATTTTTTTTGAACAACTTTTATTTGATTGTGTTAGCACTATAATTAATGATATGTTATCATGATGTTAGTTTAAAACATTTCTATCTAATTAATTCATCATTCATATTTTTCAGAACAACTTCAAATGGCCCCATGGTGATCAGGGTCACTTTTAATGCAGGCTTTCTTTTTATTTGTTTGACATTACATCACTTTGTAGTCCACATATCACCTTGCAACATTAGGGCATGGTAAAGTATTCACTTGGTATAGGATAGTTATTAACTCACATAAGCAAAGGTTAAGGACCGTTTAACACTAAGAAAAGGATTTGAAGATTGCCCCCTTCTAAATGTTTCATTATTTACTCCCATTTTAGAGAACAAATATTGAATTGAGAAAATAACAACAGATGACTCAATAATTAAAAAAATAATTATTTATTGCTGCCCAAGTTTAGTATTTATGTTAGTCATTCCTTATGTAACACTTTCGAACTGGCTCCCTTCATGTCCCAGTTTTTATTATAGCTTTTAATTGAATACTGAATATTTAACAAAAACTGATTTCACTCTGAAAATATCCCCAGCAGCTCCAACAACAAAAAAACAGAAAATGAAGAGTCTCCCAACCACTTCATGGGGCCTTGCTGCATCTGTTTGCTGTGTCATGCATTTCCAGGGAAACTTGGTTATTCAAAATAAATGTGTAACTGAAAAGTGAATGTTAGCCGGGTGCCTACTTCCCCTTCATCCCCGCAGTCCTCCCATATGTGTTGGAATTTCCCGCATGGGCTGAGAGGGACCTTGCTCGGTAAATTACAGCGCCTTGCGTGTCAGAGGAAAGCCTTATATGGGCATGGAAGTAGGTGTGGCCATGGAGCTGGTGGCGGCGGAGGGGGGGGGGGGGCATCACAAGACAAGCAGAGACACGGAGGGAGTCGATGCACAGCAAAAGGGCCGCATTACCAGCGTGAGTTTTTTACGTGCAATCTTAGTGCAATAATGTGCAACAGACAGCGGTGGCACTGCGCCCGCGTTTCTGCACATTAGCGCTGCGCTTCCATCCGGGAAGGACTCTGTTTACTCATCGACCCCCTTTTTTCCCTCTTGACTTTAAAGCGAGTGGGGGGGGGGGGGGGGGGGGGGGGGGGTTGTTGAGGGAAAAAGTACCAGTGAGTGAGGTCAGCAGCATAGCATGAGTCAACCTTGGGGATGTATGCAGTCACCATCATCGTCATCGCAGCGCTGTATTGTGCGGGCCCGCTGCTGGCCGCACAGAGCTGCCACTGTGCGATCCTGCGGGCGAGGAGCAGCTCTCATGACCAACACAGTAAGTATCGGCACAGACAGGGTGCTTCTGCTGGAGCCGCGGCGTCGTTGACAGTGGCGTTGTTGTTGTTGTTGACGTGCTCCTCACTGCATGTTATTGTTGCAACAGACAAAGTTTTGTTTACCTCGCTGAAGGCTGTTGATCCAGCCTCCAAACGGGCTCATATAGGATGTGTTTTCATGTCGCAATCGAAGATGATCGATTGCACACTCGCAGACAGAGAGACATGTGACGTCTTAACCTTGTTGACAAGTTGAAATGAGCCACTGTGTTTGTTTGTGTGCCGTGCAGCCACGCTTTTATCATGCAGTCTGCAGGGCTGGCTCTGTTTGTGGCATTGGTGACTGGATTATCCGTTTTCTGCAACAAAGGGATTCTCGTAAATAGCGCTGAGCTGGCTGGACACAGAAAGTAATGTTCAGGGAGGGGGCAGCAGGAAGAGTCCTGGCGCATGTTTTTCTTCCTATATTTTATTTATGTGTCGTCTCGTGCACGCTGCAGGCCTACAGCGTGCACGAGCTTGTGTACATGAGGAAACGGCGTTGGATTAGGGCGGCTAATGGTGCTCCACATGTATTTTAAGCTAATTTAAAGTGTTACTTTTGTTTATTGGGCTAAACCCTGGGCTTGCGTAAGGTTGCATGATGTGATGCGTCACCATGATCCCTTCACCTCGGATGGAGTCTAGTTCAGTGCACAGAGTGCTCACAGCATGGTCGCTCAGTAGGCAGCAGTTGTGTTTGTGCTCTTTCTGCAAGGGGACTAGGATTGATTTATGTGCACCTTGAAGGATGTTTTATAGGATTTGACAACATGGCCGTAGGCATTTGTAACATCACATGGCCTTGCTGGTGCACACACAGAATTAGACAAACGCACACACTGTTTGATAGCATGGTCATCCAGCTTCCACAGTCAGAGCTGCCCCTGAGCCAGTGCAGGATCTGAACAGCTGCAGGTGTCTATTTTAAGAAGCGTGTGCTTTACTATGCCACCAGAGGAAAGGGTGACGATTATCAGTCACTTCCTAGGTTGTCAGAGAT